CAGAAGTATTGAGAGTGGCATCGGTAAGGCGGAAATTGCTAGAAAACAGAAATTAGCAAAAACAACAATATCTACAATTTGGAGTAGTCACGAAAAGATCAAGAAAGAGACTGTAAATCACACAGGATAAAGCTCTTTTACGATGGTTTCAAGTTGGACGATCCGAAAATATTGCAATAAGTGGTCCAGTTTTAAAATCGACAGTCGAAAAATTAGCCAGGGGATTACAGGGTGAGAATTTTAGTTATTCTACAGGTTGACTCGAAAGTTTTAAAGTTCGTCACAACATAAACATCGGAAAAAAATCTGGTGAAGCAGGAGATGTCAACAAACAAGTTTTGCTGAACTAGTTGGAGGATAAGTGGCCCAGTATTGCGCAAAATTACGACTCGAAAGATGTTTTCAATGGTGACGAGACTGGACTATTTTACAAGATGACTTCAGATCGTACCCTTAAATTTCGAGGAGAAAAGTGTTTGGACGGGAAGCAGTCGAATTTGAGGTACACCGTTTGGGTTTGTGCAAATATGTCAGGAAGCGAAAAATGCAAACTTCTTGACCGAGATGCATGAAAAATGTGAAAAATCTGTCATTTATAAGTCAAACCTGAGAGGGAGAATGAACAACTAAAACGTCAGAATAGAAAAATCTAATCCTTTCAAATATTAGATTAGAGTCTTTGCCTCCAAATAGCACCTCAGTCGTCCAACCAATGGATCAGGGCATAATAAAGGAGTGCAAGGGGTACTGAGGAGGGTGGCTGAGGAGAGAAAGGTCACGTTGGTCTGGGTCCCGGGTCACACCGGTGTCCGGTGCAATGAGGCAGCGGACGCCTTAGCCAGGGAGGGCTCCTCGCATAGGCATATAGGGCCAGAGCCCCGCTTGGGGATCGCCCCGTGTGTGAGGCGGGGAGCTCTCGCAGCCTGGGCGAGAGACCGGGCCGCGGGGGGCTGGAGAGTTGCTCCGGGAATGAGGCAGGCGAGGCTTATGATGGATGGGCCCGCCCTTCCTCGGACCAGCTGCTTAGACTCACCAGAAGGGAGTGTAGAGCACTAACAGGGACCTACACAGGACATTGCAGGCTTAGGAGGCATCTTTGCTTGCTAGGCATTGGAGACGACCCGGAGTGTAGGTGGTGCATGGAAGGGGAGGAGACCCCGTATCATCTGCTCACCGAGTGCCCTGCCTTGACATGGGCAAGATTGGGGGTCTTCAGAACGGCCCTGATCGATCCGGACTCAGTGCACGGTATTGGACTAAAGGAGTTGCTGACCTTCTACAGGAGGGGCGGCATTCTGGACGCCCCCTAGAGCGGCCTGGGGCTACAACGGGTCCATCTGGTGGCCTAAGTGCTTGGACGCCCGCGAGGGCGCCCCCCTTTAATACCAATACCAATACCAATACCGCAGATATTTTTTGTATCGTTTGATCCCGTTGATCCAGTCATTTGAAAATAAGGAACCTTTCAATATGCATAAAATTATTTGCACAATGTTACTTTAACCACTATTCCAAAGTGCTTTCAACATGCAGTTCTGATAAAATCGGAAGATGAGTTTGATTCAGACGATGGTTCAGTGGTTCGAGAGGTACGAAAATAATGACGACGATGACTGGGAGGTTCCCCTAGGTAATTGGTTGTGCAATAGCGGCCAAGATGTTACCTACATGGAAATGTATCTTCCTGAGCTGGATAGCTTCCCAACTGTTGATGATAATTTAAGAACAACGGAGTTATTAACGGATAATGATATTACTACTGAAGTTTTACAGCCAAATGATCCTCAAGGCACTGGCAACGAAAGCGACGATGATCAACAGGACGAAATACCAAGTTATTCTGAAGCGCTTTGTGCCGTTAAAATTGTTACAATTTTTTTACAATCTACTGATAATGTAACTGATGATATTATGCAAGCGTCCTGGAAGGTTGAGAAGCACATTGAGAATATGAAATTTGTATTGCCAAAAAATAAACAAACAAAAATAACGATTTTTTTTTTCTCAAAAATAATAAAGTATGCATGTTGTAAAGTTTATATGGATAGATAAGCTTTTAGTTTAGTTTTTTAGTACCTATATTAGTGTTTATTAGATTTCTATTTTTATATAATATAAAAATATGTACGTACCTACATAATTTTTATAGCGTACTTTCGCTTATAGAGTACTCATTTTCTGGTAACCAGAGGGTACTTTATAACCGGAGTTCGCTGTAGATCGATATCGATGCGTGAAGAAGTTAAATTATTAAGAAATAATAATGAGAACAGTAGAAATGCACAATAAAGAAATCAAACACCTCATTCTCTTATTTATATAAATATGTAAGAGAAAGACAACAATCCCCATTACTTTGGCAAATTTGCCTCACTCTTCTATAACTCCGTTGCTGTTCCAGTCTAAATTCAGTTCACTCATCAAAAGATGTTGAGAAGGGACATTCAATCATCAACAGTCAATTTTTATTATTCAGAATTTTTCGGCAGAATTTTGCCAAAATATGCCCAGAACCCCTTAAATTTGTATCTAAAAATCAGTTAAGTGGGCGAAGATCGTTGTTTAGAAAGAAAATAGTCGAAAAGGTATTAGCCTGTATGGTTGATGGTTTCAGTCGAAGAATTTGGTAAATTTAGAAAAATTAGTGAAAATTTCGCATGCATTTTGTAGGATAGGTAAGATCATTGATCATAATCAGAAATGGACTTCCTTTTTAAAGATAACAATGAAATTTTTCATAGATAAAACTCTAAATGGTGTTTTAGAACTTCAAATAGAACAAAACAAAGGACATATAAAAATAAGAAATGAAATATTAAAATTGTGCATGTAGTAGTAACTTACATCCGAAACAGTTACAGTTATGTTGACACCACTGGCACCATCTTAAACAGACGCAGTTTTTATCATTTAGTCCTTTTATGAGACATCACTGGAGTTTCATCACTAGAGTGAAAAATATATGTGGGAAGCGGTTTTCGCTACCACAACACGCACACAATCCCCGCACTCCTCATTCAGAAGTGGAACAAAAGATGACGCAAATCTTCATCAAAATAACAATCTCCGCTGGGAAAAAAGCCAAAAAGGACGAAAATCTTTCCGATCGACTCTGAGCGCAACGTTTTAAACTCTTAATTCGGCCAATAGGACTGGATTCAGAAGTCGGACAGTGGCGTGTTTCAACAACTAAAAATACTCGTATCTGCACGTAATTGGTCATAAAATTTACAAATAAAACGAAATGGTAAAATAACTTTTCCATGTTTTCCGATTTTAGTATGCGCGGTTAATCTATAGTTTTAAAAGCAATAACCATGTTAGTAAAGTACATCATAGACATTCATTTCAAAGAAAAAGAAATAATTCAATGTATGTGATAGTCTTAGAGCTGATAACCGGATACAATTTGAAACAATGTGAAAGGATGCTGCAGAATGATGGCACTTGCAGGAAAGAAAGGCCAAAGATCAAAAAACAGGAGCTTTAAATTTAATCCGGACATTTGTAAGATTGTCTCATTGCGTATCTTTTTATCTTATATCTTTAAATCATTATTTTTTCATAAGTCTAGCTGCTTATAATTTTAAGATTGTAACCAGGATAGGTTAGGTTACATTAACGAAAAAAAAATATATTACTGATCATCATATCACTGTGAATTAAATTCACTAGAAGTTATGAGTTGTTCAACTGTGGAAGTGAAGAAGAAAAAATATGAGTTCTTGGTAAAGAAATTGCAATGAACACCGCACCATAAATCTATATTGTTTTTAAAAATAATACATAAGAATTTACCCCAAAATTGAGGAACACATTGAAGATACTCAGTTCGGAGTCCGTAAGGGCCTAGGTACAAGGGATGCTCTGTTCAGCAGTCACGTTCAAACTCAAAAATAAATGGGAAAATGGGGTTAAGGTATAAAGTTGATTCTGTTCTAGGGGCAGATAATATTAAAGGACTTCAAAAACTCCTAGATCAAGTAGTAGTGTCGTGCAACCGTTACGGTTGTAGAGTCTTATTATGGCTGTAACTAAAGAACCGGATATGCTTACAGAACTGTGGATCGGCCAAAGAAAACAAGAGCATTAAATATCTGGGACAATTATTAAGAGAGGAATGGGACCATTCACTGGAAATAAAATTCAGAATTGAACAAGCAAGAGCAAGGTTCATACGGATGAGGAAAGTGATTCGTGGACACGAACTTAAAATTGAGCTCAGAATGAGCATGGTCCGATGTTATGTGTTCTTAATCCTGTTGTATGAACCCTCACAGAGACTACCTTAAAAAAGCTGGAATCTTTTGAAGATAAGAAGGATGGAAGTCACGAACAGAATTAGCATTAATATTCTGGAACATCCTGGAACATACACCATCTAGCATTTGATCATTCAGAGCAACATTGAAGGAGGACGAGGCCCAGCAAGAAGAAGAAGAATATCTTGGCTGAAACACCTACCACAGTGGTTCGGACAATCAACTAATACGCTGTTTAGGGCAGCGGTAAATAAAGTATTGATAGCCAACATGATTCCTAACATTCGGTAAAAAACGGTTATGGCACATCAAGAAGAAGAAGATAATGTGGTTCATCGAAGAGTAGACCTTTTGTAATCAATCAATTGGTTGGATGGATATAGAGATATGTAGTAATAAAGTAGTGATTTTACAAAAAAAATAATATGAATCTCTATTGAGAGAGATGGAGATAGATTAACAAATATTGTTGAGACTCTGTAATAAAATATGGAGTGTTCCATTTTAAGCTCCATAGTGGCCGTATAATATAGAATAGTTCCTTAAAAGATTTAATAGAAACGACATCCATTTATCAATCCTGCCATATTATCGATATCCAATATGTTCTGCCATATATATCGGTGCCGCCCATGGAGTTTTCTCATCCCCCCGTTTGGAGTTGAACATCGACGTACGGATTCGTATAAAACACGGGGCGGCATCAAGTGAAAAGCTTTTCTTGTGCTATTTGTCGACATGAGCGGTTCTGGGAAACCCCTCCTGGGTTTGTGGTTGTATCGCAGCGGTGAGGAGTGGAGTTACAAGGAGGAGAGTCCGATCGCTTTAAAAAACCTGGTGAGTTTAGAGCCGCAAAATTTTTATACGGGATTGCCGAAAATTAATGCACATTTTACATCCAAACTGAACTTCTGAAGGGGGGAGGGGGAATGAATATATTTTTTGTAATTAATACTCGAAAGAAGTTTTGAAATTTTTGTATTCTGCTCACTTTTGTGTGCTAATTGTGATTTATTTTGGAGACTGGATAAATTTTATTTATGTTGTTAATCGGCTATTTGTGAGAAATATTTACTTGTCGATTCACATAGCGTTACCGCCTTGAAGGAAAACTAAAAACTGAATCTCATAGATCTGTACTTACTTCTCAAATGTGTTTATTAATTTATGAAACAAACATAACATGTCACAATGAAAACGAAAATACACACATAATTTTTTAGAAACAAAAACACCCATAAACATCCATATGTGTATTAATTAAATTATTTGGTTGGGTTTATTAATTATTTAATTAAAAGAGTTATTCTTAAATTTCCATTCTAGATTTTATGAATTTGGAAATTGCGCTCATCTGATACAAAACCATATGCTCAAAGCAATTTTTTTTCGATTGTTTTTTTTATTTTATGCAATACATAATTTAAAGAATAAAATAATATATAATAAATAAAACAGTTTTTAAATTTAAATAAAACGCACATGAAGTGATGTCAGTCAGTGGTGGGAAGCATTTCCTTCGTCGATGCGTTAGTGACGTCTTTTAAAAAGAAATCAGCGGCGTGCAAAATGGTGCAAAGTTTATGAAATCGGCCTAGAGGTTACAGGGAGGTAAAGGCTTTACTAATAAAATAAGACTGTTTAATATCTCCATCTTTTAGTAAAAATAATAAAGATTAGTATTATTCAATGCCTCTGAATGTCCATTCCTAGTGACAATTATCAGTAACGCTCAAAAAAACTTTTAAACATGAAAAATGGAAAGAACTTCCAAAATCTTTGCCAAAAAATGAAACTTTTTCACTATGTTATTATCACATCCAGCATAACGATGTAATGATTTAGTGATTTTTTTAGAAATGCGACATCACTAACACATAGACCAAAGATGACAGTTTGCAGCACTATATTCACATATAATATGGTCGCCTATCTAGGAAAATCACACTTCTACTTTGGAAAGCATATAAAGAAATCTGTAAAATATTGTTATGGAGGCCTTACGCAACGCTGTCCCGTTGTATAACGTTCTGGGCCACGCCAATGTGATAATCAGATATTACATGTGCCTAAACTTTAGTTAAAATGCTGACTTTTGTGGATTTAATTTTTACTCACTCCGCACTTCCCTTTTGTTGTTTTTTATTAGTACTACTGATACTACATTTTTCGTTTGTGTGTAGGTAATTAGTATTACGACGACATTCATTTGTTCTCTGTAGTCTCTGTAGATTTCGATATATCCAGCGTGCCTTTGATCAAATTGTTGGTTTTGGGGTGACGATCTCAATCAGCAAGGTTCTTTTAAACTATTGTGTGTTGCTGTGGTGTGGTGTGGTTGTTTGGTCATTTAAAATGGTGCAATCCCAGCACACGGGTTGTGGTTGCGGTATTGGGTAAATGTCGTCGCTTCATGGCACCTACAGCGGGATTTCCTTATACTAGGCAAATGCAAATGCCTGTGATATGTTGGATAATCTCCTATGTTTGATTGGTTGCAGTCTAAACCGACATCGACGGATCAGAATTCGGCGACGGAAGTGGAAAAAATTTCCATTATCTTCACCTTGAAAAACCAGGTGGGAGGTTTGGTACGGGCCCTTCAAGCTTTCCAGGATTTGGGCATCAGCGTCCAACACATCGAGTCCCGCCCTTCCCAAACTGGCGACAACCAGGTGGACTTCCTGGTGGACATCGAATGTGATCCCAAAAAACTGGAACAGCTTGGTCGCATGCTTAAGGTAGGTGAAATAAAATGTTTCACCAAAATGCGGTAAATTAAAAAAGGTTTCCTATTAATAACATAGGCCTTTTTCTAGCGATGCTCCCTAATCACAGAGCGATTTTCTTCCCTAATGAACGAATAACGAAAACTGAATTTAACTATATTAAACTTAAAACAAGTCAAGCGTTCAAAAGCTATACGAGTTATGGCATATATTTATCTAGTAGGTTTAAAAGTTTCTTGTCAGCTTGTAAAGATTTGTCACTACTTTAATAAATTTTACGTTTTTTGGGTTAGAATTATTTCAAATACATCATAATCAAATATCTGTACCAAAGAATGTCCTGCCTATTTATTAATTAATATTAAGCATATTTTAATTTAATTTATTTTTTTAAGCGCCAATGTTTTTTATAGGCATCCGCCAGTTTGCCAACATAACAAAAGGTTTAAGATATTCAAAATTTTCATGGGAGTGTGAATATTGAATGCGAAAACGACAAACAAATAATCAGAAGTAGGCAATTTGTTTAACTAGAGCGGAAAGTAAGGCTTTGTGTCTGGTATACGAGCAAATGCCGTCAGTGGGGCGTGAGAATAACAAACTCGATCAAAAAATTGAATAGTTATTTTATAACGAACATATTTTTTTATTTACTTGGATATCGGTAGCGCGATAAAATGCATAATTAAAAAAAAAACTACATCTCTGTGTAACATACGCGAAATTTTTGTATTCCAAACCGTATATAATAGTGCAAAAAATCACACATTGCATTATATTTTTAATATTTTAGGAAATCACAAACTAACTTGTTTGTCGTAGCGATGTTACAAACACAACTTTAAAATTTGCTTTTTAGAAAACTGCTGGATTCCTCCAGGGTCGGTTTTTGCTGAGTTGAACTTGCTAACGTTTCGCCAATCATCACGTTGGCTTCTTCAGAAGTTCGACGCCGCAAAAACCGACGCAGGCAGAATACAGAAGTTTTAAAAAAAGTATTACAGTAGCCTGAAATTTGGTAACTATTCGTGAGGATGTTTCAAATAGTTTAAATAGATAGATAGATAGATAGATTATTTATTCACAAAACCAGGTGATACAATGGATGTTTCGTCAATAAATACAAATAATAAATTACAAGTTTCATTGTAAAAACAATGTATATCATAATCTTAAGTAATGTGTAGAACGAATACGAGTATATATTTATATAACAAACATGACAAACAAGTTAATGTAATTTAAAATAAAAGAGAGTATACATTAGAAAAATCTCGGTAAACTTTTGACGTTATTTACGATGCTCTCAGGTACGCTTCAAATTCTTTCAGGCTGTAGAAAGCATTGGCCGTCAGGAGCCTCTTGATGTGTTTTTTAAATTGATTTATAGATAAATTGTTTAAGCTTGGAGATAGCAAATTATAATAATATGGTCCCGCGTAACTTAGTGATTTTTTATAAAACATATGGTTGAGTTTTGGCTTCAGCAGATGTTCTCTGTTGCGAGTATTGTAACTGTGGACATCAGTATGCTTCCTATGTGAATATTTATTTTTATGTGTGATCAAAAGTATTTTAAATAGGTATATACAAGGCATTGTTAATATTTTGAGCCGTTGAAATGTCTCTTTGCATGATTGCCTCGGAGGAAGTTTAAGAATCAGCCTAAGTATTCTTTTTTGCTGTATAAACACTCTCTCAGCATCATTCGCTTGTCCCCAGTTGACAATATTGTGTGAAATGGAAGAGTAAGCTGACGCGTAGTAAAAAGCTATTAGTGCCTTCTCAAGAAATGAATCTTTAATTGTTAATATTGCGAAAAAGGTTTTATTTAGTTTATTGCAGACATTGTCAATGTCCCGGTCCCATCTCAAGGAGCTATCAATATAAGAACCAAGAAACTTCGTGGTCTGATTCATTTCCAATGGCGAACCAGCAAAACTGATCGATAAGCCAGCTAAAGGTTTAATGTACTGACCAGTAAACTCAACCACGACTGTCTTTTCTACATTCACGATCAAATGATTTTGCCTACAGAAGTTATTAAATTGTGAGACAACAAGAGATGCATCATCCATCAGCACTTCTGTATCTCTTCCAGAGACAAAGACGGACGTATCGTCCGCGTACATAAAGACACGACAGTCACTGTTGAGAAATTCCGGCAAATCGTTCACATATAAAAGAAATAATAATGGACCCTAAGTTCCCCCCTGAGGCGTGCCCAGGCTGACGCTATAAAGGTCTGAGTACGTTCCATTTATTTTGACACTTATTTTCCTATGATTCATATACGATATGATCCAATCATTGATAGGCCCCCTGATTCCCAAGCACTCCAGCTTCTTTGCCATTATACTGAAGGTTAAGGAGTCAAAGGCGCGCGATAAATCGAAAAAAACTCCGATTACTGTCTCTCCGATATCTAGTTTATCATAAATATGCTGAACAAGTTCATTTGACCCCGTTTCCGTAGAGTGACCAGCGCGGAAACCATGTTGCACATTTGTTATTATATCTTCTTGCTCTAAGAAATGTGTCATTCGATTGTACATGGCTTTCTCTAGGACTTTGGAAAAACAACTTGCGATTGTTATTGGTCTGTAATTCTTTATGTTTGTTGAATCCCCTTTCTTAAACACAGGAACCATTTTAGAATTTTTTAGCGCCGAGGGGAATTGCCCTAATAAAACAGAGGAATTAATAATCATAGTTAAATATGGGGCCAGGACATCGCTACATGCTTTAAGAAGTCGTATAGGTATTTCGTCAATTCCCAAAGATTGTTTGTTTTTTAATGAGTGAATTAAGGACACTACTTCTCCCACAAACAAACATACTCTTTTCCCTGATGGGTGGAAAAGTACCGGTATCGTTTTTAAAAAAAATAATAATAAAAGAAAGTGTTGAGTCCATGGTTTATCGCAATTGTTAATAAATTAATTGACTCATTCTACATAAGAATTATCTCTTCGGTTTTTCCGCTGAGACGAACCGTTTTCGAGAAAAAAAAATGCACGTTAATTTTATTTTTTATTATTTTATTATTAAATAAATTCAAACGGTAACAAGAATGTTACCGGTTAAACAAATTTATCGATACTATACATTTGTTTTTAAGTAGCAATAACTACCAAGTTTGAAATCAAAATCTAGAGCAGATTTTTTTAAAATAGAAAAAAAATATTTTCTTTCGCAATATTTCATCAACCTGAAATGCAGTCGGCAGGTTTTAAAGCTTGTATCGATAAGATGTGGTATGGGTACATAATCTCATCCGACCTACGTTAAGTCTATTAGCTATTCTTCCGACACTAGTAGAAGGTTGAGCATTAATCGTGTTAAGAATTGCCTCCTCTAGAGTAAGTTCCTGTTGAACGAGATGTTCAGAAGTAGCTGTAGGAAACTTACGTGGAAACAAGGATGGACATTGCTAAAAACAGTTCTACATCCATCTACGGCTGCTGCTCGTCCGGTTTAATTACACAATGCATAAACAAAGTGAATGTCGGCGTATTTTTCATTCAAAAACGTAAACACGGTACCTTGAAGATTATTTTAATGTAACACACGAAAATAAACACGTAACAGTATATTATGTAACAAGTGCCGTAAACGACCTTTGACTCACGAATTTATTTGGCTCCAGCGGAGCGAGTGTAAAATACCAAATTGTCCAGCGATCTAGCATGCGGGATGCGTTACTTTATACGTCAGTTTCGTTTCCCACGAATCCGAGCCATTTCGGACATTTCCGGGATTTTACCGCACGGATGTGTTCGGAGATATTTCCCACGCTTTGAATTTTGACGTTTGTCAATTCTGACGTTCATGTCAGTGAATGTATTTGTGTTGTTTTGCGAAATTGTATCCAAAAACTAACGGTCGTAGAAAAAGTATAGTATGCAACACGTTCGGTAAACTTTTTAACTCTCTCGTTTATTGAAAACTCGCTTCGTTGCGCTCCGCTCGTGTCAAATAAACTCGTGAGTCAAATGCCGTTTACCGCACTTGTTGCATAATTTACTATTACCAAACTTGTTGCATTCTGTTCTTCTTCTACGACCGTTAGTATTTCAGAATTGACAAACGTCAAGATTCAAGGCGTAGGAAATATATCCGAAAACATCCGATTTCTCCCAGCTAACCAAAACTCGCGTGGTAAAGTGACGCTTTCCGCACGCTAAATGGGTGTATAATTACGTATTTTACAGAAGAGAGTAGAAAAAATTAATTTCATTGACGTTTACTATCACAATACATAAGATTCACAGTCATCTGTAATAATAAAGTAACTAATTCAATAAAGTGGTATTCTCTGTAAAGGGGTAATGCAAATTTCGCGTTCCAGAGAGAGGTGCTGACGATGGTTATTGGAAGTTACGGAACGGGGACAGAGGAGTTTCCACCTCCCACTCCATTATCCGCTACAACAAGCTTTGGTGAGTTCGAGATAAATATCAACGGTCCGGTGTTTGGTATTCATTCATTCGCAACGGAAGAAAGGTTTTAATACGAATTGCACGGTTGGGTTCGATATGTGTAACGTGTCCAGGGGCGTAGTGATCTGCAAAATTGCCAAAATTTTCACTTAGATGCTCCTACAAAGTGTGCACAAGTTGTAGTGCGAAATTCTAACCATTCAATCTATTTTTAAGTGGATTTCAGATAAATTGAAAAAGTGGCAACGCGTCAAATATTCTAGAGCTATAACTGTACCGACAGTTTTGGTGCAGTTAAATTGAAAAAAATCCCAATACAATTTAGGTTAGTTTACTTTTACATAATTTTCAAGCATATTTCCAGTGACGCATGCCAGTAATTCTGTAGAAAAGGAACTTCTATATAGGATTTGATCTTTCTGTCTTCGATTTATTGCTCTAGAGTCATAAAACTTGATAATGTAATAAAAACCCATTAACGGTTGACGTCATACGAAATTTCGACAAACAAATAATAATCGGTGGCATGTATACCGTAAACTTTTATTGCTGATTGCGTTTTTAATGGCAATTGCCAATATCTGTGAATCTGAATTCTTTGTTAATGGGATATTAAAACAAAGCGCATAAAATTCGAAAAATAATTCGAAAAGTTCGGGACCCTAAACTGCTCCGGTTTTAGAAATATTTTAAAAATACAGAAGAAAAAAGAACTTTTAATTTTTTCTGATCTGTGAGATTGGTGTTATGTTTGGACGATGGAAAGGAAGATATGGTTTTATAACTATATCAATAAAAATATTTTTTTTTCATATTTGACAGCTTTAGTTGGCATTGAAAAATATTTGGACCTGGTCTACTTAAATATAAACAAAAAGTGCCTTATATGACTAATGCGAACAGCTAACTCACCGATGGCATTATTGAAAGATGATAGCCAACCAGAATTTCCACATAATGGTATATTATACAATAAGTGCGGTAATAGTACATTATACAACAAGTGCGGTAAACGGCATTTGACTCACGGGTTTATTTGACACGAGTGGAGCGCAGCGGAGCGAGTTTTTAATAAACGAGTGAGTTAAAAAGTTTACCGAACGTGTTGCATACTATACTTTTTCTATGACCGTTAGTTTTTGGGTACATTTTCGCAAAACAACACGAATATATTCACTGACATGACCGTCAGAATTGACAAACGTCAAAATTCAAAGCGTGGGAAATATCTCCGAAAACATCCGATTGCTCCCAAATACGTGCGGTAAAATCCCGGAAATGTCCGGATTCATAGGAAACGAAACTGACGTGATAAAGTGACGCTTCCCGCACACTAGATTGATTTGTAATTATGCATTTTATAGACGTGAGTAGAAAAAATAAGTAATAAGTATTCATTTGTTGGAAAATGGACAATTAGAGAAAAAATCTGACTGCGATAACTAAAAAAATTGCCCTGATAATGTTTTTTAAAAAAGCAGAAATTTTTGTAAATAAAATAGTGAAAAATGTCTCGCTTGGTAGTGAAGTTATCTTCGTGCGGTTTTGCTAAATATTCCTCAAAAATTCAGCCCATGGCATGTAAGTCGGTTTCGATCTATCGATAAATTTCAGATTTCGACGAAATGCCGTGGTTTCCCAAAAAAATATCAGAACTGGATAACGCGCAGAACGTTCTGATGTACGGCAGCGAGTTGGACGCCGACCACCCCGGTTTCAAGGACCCCGTCTATAGAAAGAGGAGGGAGCAGTTTTTCAGAATCGCCATGAACTACAAACAGTAAATATTGTTTCTACTGATTAAAACCTACTAAAGGAGACTCTCGCCTAAGATGTATGTAGCATCTATCCAGATATATTCTTATTTCTTTAAGCATAAGAACCCAATTGGCTTATAAATGAAACATGTCAGGGACTTTATTAACCAAGGTTTACAGGAGAAGGTTAATCAATGACCATTTATTAAACTTCGAACAACTGAGAATTTAATTATTATTATGGCACGCTCAACATGTTGCAAAGACTACTATTTTCAAGCACCAAAGTGCTAACTAAAATACCAGAATAGTCCGAAATGGACTTACCACCGTGGATAACGAGTTTTGATGTTATCACTATGGTGGCTTCTAGTGACATCCATATGTGGTTGCTTTGAAGATGAAGATGAAGATGCGACCTCACCATAGCAATCAATTTACAGGTTAATTATAGTGGTCAGTCTAAAGCTTTTATTATTTCTAATTACGAAGCAAATAAATTACAGGTATTGTAAGAATTCAACCACGATTTTCTCCAAAATTGATATTATATTCACGATATAATGATTTATTTAATATGGGATATAAATTAATACTATACTGTTGCGCGTTTAAAACCAAAAATGTGATTGAGGTTCGGAGGGCGTAATAGGTACCGGAAAAGTCAGTACATTCGTAAAAAATATTTCTTTCTATGGAACAAAATCACCAAATTCCCGCAATATGTTAACATAATTTTACTACACTGTGGGGTATATGACATATAACAAACATTGCTAATACGTTACAACTTTATAAGGATGCACTATTCTGAGAAATTTGGCATTATAAAACCAAGAAAAACAAATATATTTTTCTAATAGCCAAAATAAAACCATTTTATGGCTCATCGGGTATTGATCAGAGTCTGAATCAACATATTTGCCCACTGAGCACATTGTTCCCCTGATTTTATCTAAGTAAAAATGCTCACGCAGATAAAGCAAATAACTACTCTCCAGAAGAAGAATATACACATTTATAAATGTGAGTTTTTTTTCTTTTGCCTTGTTCTTTCAAATGCGATCTGAGTTCCGAATAATTTAAAAATTACTTGTTGATACATGATTCAACTCACATATGGTATACATCACACTCAGCAAAATTGCCTACCCAGATAATAGCTTCCTCCTCTCTTCAAGAAGAAGAATCTGCACACCCACACGTAGCAGTGTTTTGTAGTTGGCCATGTCCATACCATTTTAGCATGCCCTAAGACTAGGGTTAAGCCATAAACTTACTTTTTTTGAAAAATAATAGTGCTATAACTCTGCCTGGCACAGTATCAGATTTATCTACCATCACATTTAATGAACTTTGTATTGCACAATGCTACCAAAATAAGGGGTGTTTTTTTTATGTATAGAACTTTAAGTTGCAATAAAACAACGATCGATTATTCGATTGACATGAATTTTATTTATCCGAAAGATAATCTTGTGGCAATACATTATAAATATGATTTCTGGCATGACAGCCACGGCTGGCGCGGATGTAGTCCTATCTGGACGTTCAATTTTCGATGACTTTTTCCAACATTTGTGGCCGTATATCGGCAGTAACACAGCGAATGTTGTCTTCCAAATGGTCAAGCGTTTGTGGCTTATCCGCATAGACCAATGACTTTACATAGCTCCACAGAAAGTAGTCTAGCGGTGTCAAATCACAAGATCTTGGAGGAAAATTCACAGGCCAAAACGTGAAATTAGGCGGTCACCAAAAGTGTCTTTCAATAAATCGATTGTGGCACGAGCTGTATGACATGTTGCGCCGTCTTCTTCAAACCACATCTCCTGGACATCATGGTTATTCAATTCAGGAATGAAAGAGTTAGTAATCATAGCTCTATACCGATCACCATTGACTGTAACGTTCTGGCCATCATCGTTTTTGAAGAAGATTCCACCAGCCCATAAAGCGCACCAAATAGTAAGTTTTTCTGGATGTAACGGTGTTTCGACATACACTTGAGGATTAGCTTCGCTTCGCTTCGCTTCGCTAATCCTCAAGTGTCGCTAATCCTCAAGTGTATGCCGCTAAGTGCGGCAGTTTTGTTTCTTAACGTAGCCATTCAACTAGAAGTGCGCTTCATCGCTAAACAAAATTCGCTTATGAAAATCAGGAACAACGGCAATCTCGTTTTGGGCCCATTCGACGAATCTACGCGTTACTTGATGATCGTTTGGCGTCAATTCTTGCACGAGTTGGATTTTGTAAGCACTTAAACCAAGATCCTTCCGCAAAATCTTCCAATTCCTGTGCTCGATGGCGGATGGACTCATTCGGGTCTTTCTCAATGCTACGCACTACAGCAGCAATAACTTCTTCTATACGCACCGTACGGCGTCTCTGGGGATGCGAGTTATCAATGAGAGTAAACGTGGTGCGAAAACGTTCTATGGTTAATCGAATTAACTGCTCTGATGGACGATTTTGTCGACGATAAAATGGACGTAGTGCGCGATACCTGTTCCGCACAGAACCATTATTTTTGAAATAAAATTGCACTATTTGCAAGCGTTGTTCAGGCGTGAGTCTATTCATGATGAATTGCCAAACCGAACTGAGAATAAATCACTTGACAGCTGTTAAATCGGTCTCCATCTTGAACAGTAATGCCAGCTTAAAGTTCTATACATCGAAAAAAAACACCCATTACAAACACCGGTTTAGTTACGAAATGACTTCCATTGTTAGTTATTATTCGTGTCGATGGTATTTAGAGCATTGCCGATAAAGTCTCCGTAATATTTTGCAGCGGACAGCCCATTCCGAAGGTCAAATACACGGACGAAGAAGTGAAAACCTGGTAAGTGTTTCGCGCGCTTGCGCAAAACCGTCACGGCGACACTCCATACTTTTTCAGGGGCGTGGTCTTACGCGAGCTGCACCGTCTTTATCAGAGACACGCGTGTAAAGAATACCTCGAGAACTGGCCGCAGCTCGTCAAATACTGCGGCTACAGGGAGGACAACATCCCGCAACTGCAAGACGTCAGCGCCTTCCTCAAACGCAAGACCGGCTTCCAGCTGAGACCGGTTGCCGGGTATCTAAGTCCCAGAGATTTCCTATCAGGCCTCGCGTTTAGGGTTTTTCACTGCACCCAGTACATAAGACACTCCTCAGATCCGTTCTATACGCCCGAACCGTGAGTGCCTTTTGCCATTTACATTGCCTTATGCAAGGTGTTTCGAATGCGAGATGTAATCTCGTTCCATGAAGCGTGGAATACCAGTACCTATTTTTCCTCTTTAATTATTTATTGCAGTTAATAATGCCTAGTGTAATAGCTATCGCCGAGCGGCACACCAATTAGGGCAGAAATAATCTGGCACACAGACGCTCAAAACTCAGCAGCTCGAATATATGAACCCAGGAGGAAAACAAAAACACTGTGCAAGAGAAAATAAAACATTCATAATAAAACAATTGAAGAGTACAGGGGACAAAAGATGAGGGTCCAAAAAACTTTATTCTGAGTAATTGTGATTTTTACTGATTTTGACTACTCTATAACATGGCAAACAAAAACAGAATTGTTAAATAAGAACAAACGTTGTTCAGATTTTCACAGAAATATATTTTAATGACAGCTGTTTCGGCAACACCGTGCCTTTATCAAATGCGGTGTTGCCGAAACAGCTGTCATTTAAATATATTTATGTGAAAATCTGAACAAGGTTTGTTCTTATTTAACTGTTTTAAATGGATTTTCATCAAGTAAAAGCCACTTCATTAAAAAGCAGAATTTTGGAATGTAATTATTGCTAACTTGAATTAAAATACTTTTTCACAAAATATACAAAAAATATATAAATTGTCAATGCAAAAGTATAAAAAAGAAACTTTGATTCCAATCCAAAAAAAAAAAACACTTGGCAATAAAGTTGAAAGGTCCATAATCTATTATTGTAATCTTATCAATGTGGTATTGTTGTAAACAAATCCTGAGCTTTTTGAGAACAGAATCTTTTTAGATGCTGTAGTTCTTGTAATTTAGCTTTAGATGCAGGTACTGGCACATCATAAACTAAAGTTGGAAGCAAAAAAACACTTTTCAGGTAGCGAAAGTCTTTTTTTTTTGTTTTTCAAGTTCTCTATCATTGTAATTTTCCCTATGTATCATTAAACGAGGGTGATTTTCGGTTACACTTAATTCTTTGACCGGTATTGAAGGAAAAGGACACTTGGGCATATAGATATCCGTTAGAAATTTCGTCCAACTCTTAAAAATGGACTGATCTTCACAAGAAATAACTTTAAAAGTGCTTGGTTTTGTCCGGGAATCCCTTAAAACTGCATTCCATTCTTGAGGCAGTTGAACGTACGTCTTCTGTTTCACTAAACCCATATTTCTATCGCATTTTAGACACAACTGAAAAGTATGGGGAAAAAGATGAGGGCCCATTTTTTGCCCAAATAAGACTAACAGTTATTTCGTATAATATATCGGCTATAGCATACCATCCACCTATAAGAAATGGCTAGAAACATAACGGTACAAAGATAAACAGAATTTAAAATGTATATTAGTGTACAAAAAAGATAAAGCTGCCAGAGATTGTGCGCAAGAAAGATGATAGTACATAGAAAATGGCAAAGTAGTGCTTCGCCGGCTTATCATAGTAAACAATGCACGTATTTCAATCCCTAGTTACACACATACAACACATACACATAAAACAAATTGACGTTGAAGTTTATTGGTGTAATTATTGAGTAATCTGTTTTTAAAGTTTTTTGGTGTATTTCTTGTTGTTGAATAATGACTGAGCAACAAAAAAAGAGGAGAAGAAAATCCTTTGGACGAATGCAGGATGTAACTAAAAAGTTACGCAAATGTTCAAAATTTAAATGTTTCCAAAATCTCACTGGAGCCGATTTAAGCTCGATCGTGTCTAAGTTTAATCAACTACAAAGTTATGATGGACAATCCCTTTATCTGAGTGGTTTAATAACGTGCAATCTTGTAACACGCCATCTTCCCGGGAAATCCCGGGAAAAAGGCTACAAATCAAAGGGTTCGGTCATGGAAGACATTAGAAAGTCTCACAACAATGGTTTTTTTACCTGCTGAGCTCAATATTAAGAAAATGTATTCTATGTACAAAGAAAAATATCCCGATAAATTAGTTTCTTATGAAAAATATAGGGAAATATTCAACACCAAGTTTAACATTGCTTTTGGGTACCCACCTGTAGTACATGCGATGAGTTGAAAGTAAAAATTGACATCGGAAAAAAAATTAATCAAAGTGCAGATGATCACAATGGACTGCAGTTACACACAGAACTGCGAAGCTTGCAAGTTGAAAAAAGAGTACATTTTAAAAGAGCAGACACATTTATAAACGTAAAAAAGCTAGACTTGAGGCTCAACAGTCAAAACCAATGAAGCTATTGTAATGGATTTTCAAAAAAATCTTCATCTGCCGAATATTACAACTAATGACACGTATTATCGTAGACAACTTTCGTTCTACATGTTCAACATACATGTCCTTACGACCTCTGAACTTCTTTTCTATACGTATACTAAGTTTCAGAAAAAAAGGGCGCCGATGATTCTGATTCTTCACTGTTATGGGATTACATTTTTAATCATGTGGAATTTAATATCAAGAAGCTTACGATATTTTGTAATTTATGCTGTGGACAAAATAAAAATTTCACGGTGTTACATTATATTGTTTATTTTGTTAAAAGACTTAACCCAATCAAAATGGTTTTTCCTGTTAGTGGACAATCGTATCTACACCGACAGCCAATTGGGGTACCTACACGCATTGCAAAATCCGTCATCAAGAAGAAAAACGGAAATAGAATCACGGAAACGGTGGAAAGACATGCCAGAATGAAAAAAATTTTCAGAAGTCCATGGCATGTGTTCTAACGGATCACTGCCCGGCTGAAAAGGCATCTAAGGTGAATAGCAGTTAAAAAAAACACTGCCAGGGGGAGATGGCGTTTTCATCTGCTGGATGTAAACAAATCAACGGCAATGAGCTACACCAATAAGTCCCTATCGAAGCTGTAGCGTCTAATCGGAGAGACGAACATCAATAAAGCTTTACAGCTATCGAGAGGGTCATAGTAGATCCTTTGCTGGAATTTCTAATCTTGAATCTAGCAATCGCCAGCTGTCAAGTGGCTTCCCTATGCCTTATGGTTGGACTCATTCTTCCTACATGACCTCTCCAATATCAACGCCTTGACCTTATCATCTCCCATCGTACAGTCAAAAATATATAAGTGGAAATTTTTTTAGCTAATCGACCATGAGACATTCTTCATTCAACAAAACAACGACGCACAAAAAAGAGACATTTTAATGACCACACCTAAAAAAACCTGGCCTAACACAAACAATAACAACAAGCAAGATGACGATGGATTTAAATTAGTCCAGCCGAAACGGCGAAGAAACAGAACTTTTATAGAAGGCACAAAAATAACAAGTAGAATACGTGGAGTTGAGAAGAAAGCTTCAATATGTATAACAAGGTTGGATAAATCCACAACATCAGCACAGGTTGAAGAAAACTTATCTGATATCTGTAGAGTAAATTGTGAAAAACTTAATTTTAACCGCAATGAAATTAAAATGTGTGCCCCTTTTACGCACAAGGATGCAATTTTAAACGGAAACCTATGGCCGCACGGTGGGCAAATATTTCTTTCCTAAAAAAAATGTAAGAAACAACGCCAGTGAATACGACTCAGAAAATGAGACACTACACTAGAAGGTGAGACACCTAACAAATCCGTAGTTATGAACCTTAATATTCAAGGGGGTCTCACAAACAAAAAAGAAGCCCTCGAAGCCACGGCGTCAATGTGCTGTGTACCTCAGAGCATCATGAATCCTCAGAAATTTTTTTTTACCTTTCAGATTATAAGGTTCTTAGTTATTTCGCGAGAAATAGTTGCAGGGGAGGGGAAGTCTGTATCTTGGGTAGAGGAAGTTTCGAAGCATTTGTAGAGAAACTCTCAATAATGTTAGAAGCTGTATAAGAACCAAAAAATGAGCACATTTTGTGCGACGACATTAACGTCAACTTGCTTGTAAACAACAATCAAACTAAAATACTAAAAAATATAATTCTTGAGTATAATTTGGTTGCTTCTATAGTAAAAAAAAACTAAAACAAATATTTATATCAAGTTTTCCATTTGTAAAAAAAGGAAAAGTCTCGTACAGGAACAAAACCAATTGGTTTAATAGAGAATAAGAGAGCTGAGTCGTGCGGTACACGAGATGCATTAAATAAATAAAAGAATAAAAAATGATCTACACAGAACTTAAATCCTATTACAACAAAAAACTTAAACCCGCAAAGAAAACTCATCACAATGTAAGGTTAATGAAATCTGATAACATAAGTAGGCAAAGTTGGGCAATAGTCAGGGAAAATAGCAACCGTAAAAGTATGGTGGTGAAACACTTCAAGACGGATCCAAAACCTGTGAAATTTTGAACAAATATATTGCTGATCTTGCTAACGATGTCAAGCAGCCTCAAAATCGAACGCCCGATATCCAAATACACTCAAACTCTATGTTTCTCTATCCTACTACAACAGTAGAGATAAAACAAGTAATTGAAAAAGTATGCCGTAAGAAATCATCTCGAATCGATAAAATACCGGGCACTTTGTTAATTTCTATTAAAGATATTATACCTCCTATTCTATCATACTTAGTCAATTTAAGCTTCCTCCAGGGCAAGTATCCACAGGCCTTAAAAAACTCAAAAATTGTACCTATTTTTAAAAATAAAGGCAATAAAACCAAAACAGAGAGCTGCCGCCCGGTAGCTCTTCAATGTCAAGTGGCAAAAATTTTTGAGTCCTGTTATAATGACAGACTGCAGAGGTTCCTTGAAAAATACTCTTTGATTTCTAATGCTTAAGATTCAGAGCCAACCGCTCCACAAGTACAGCTCTGGACTATGCCCTGGAGATCACTGCACTAGAACCCTGTGCAAGAGAAATAGAAGCAAGGAAGATCCGTAACAAATCAATTGCAATTTACACCGATAGTCAAGCGGCTATAAAGGCCCTGCAACCTAATAAAACAACATCCAAGTTAGTTCTGGACTGCCATAAGGCATTAAACGAGATAGCAAGCCAGAACAAAGTTACTCTACCATTGGCACCGGGGCACGGAGGGCATAAAGGTAATGAAGGCGCAGAAGACGCAGCCCGCGAAGGGTCGTTAATGTCCCTGATTGACAGGCCAATCGGCCAATTTTACTAAGCTACAATAGGAAAACCGTAAGAATAATGGTAGGTCTGCTGATGGGCTACTGCAGGCTTTAGAGACATCTAAGCCTGATGGAAGTGGAAGAAAACACAGAATGTAGATTCTGTGAAGAAGAGGAAGAAACAGCCGCACACGTACTGTGCCACTGCAAAGGCCTAGCGAGAGTGCGTTTCCATCTGCTGGGCGATTCCAAACCAGAGGCAGAGAGCTATACGAGGGAGCCATTATCGAAGTTGTGGAGTCTGGTTAGAGAGACGAACCTGGATAAAGCTCTATAGCTATGGAGAGAGTCACAACAGATCCTCTGAGTCGCAGTGACGGACAGGCTGACTGCTAGCTCTCTCAACTGTTAATCTTAATCTTCATGGTCTGGAGCCAGCCTTAATAATAAAACAGCCACACTAGGCTTTTTTTTTAAATTGAAAAATATGGGAGTTAGAGGACCAGCAAACTCATGGGTTAAATCTTACCTCTTTGAGAGAGTACAGCAGGTTGTGATCGACGGTTCAAAAACGAACCCTCAATATGTAGGCAGAGGCACCCCCGCAAGGATCTTGCCTATCACCGCTCCTCTTTAATTGTTTTATTAACGATCTACCTCAAGATAATACAGCTGCATTATTTGTACTGTATGCAGATGACACAAGCATTTTAGTTATAGATAAAAGCAGAGCTAATCTAAAAGAGGCCGCAGAACCAAGGGTCACGAGGGTGAATGAATGGTGTCGCGATAACGGACTACAATTAAATAAATCTAAGTCAATGGCTATGGAAATAGTCACAAAAAATACTCGCGTTGATTCCAATATTCTTCTCCAATTAGAGCGACGTTCTATAGAAAACGTGGAGGCTACTAAGTTTCTCGGTCTGCACATTGACAACAATCTTACACGGAAATATTACTTAATCCAAAATATTAGAGATACGGTATATATTGATGTTTTAAAGCTGGTGTACTATGGTCTGTTCCAATCAGTGATAGGTTACGGTGTAATGGGGTCTAATCACTGGTGCGCACCGGGGCTTCTTAGCACAAAAACGTACTATTGGTTACGTGATACGTGTAACTAGTAAACATTCATGTAGGGAACTTCAGATCATGACACTTCCGTCGTTATATATTTATTGCGTTTTGATTTACGACAAAAGTAAAATGGCAAGATGGAATAGGAGAAGTGACTTGCGCGAACATGACACACGGCAAAGAGATTACTTGGATATTCCATTCTCTAGACTGCATATCGGGCAACAAAACCCAAGGTATTTTGCCTTGAAAGTATATAACAGAGCTTTAAATTTCTACAAATGCTTCGAAGAAATTGATAGTTTATATATGTTTAAGAAAAGAATTAAGATCTTTTTAACTAATACTACTACTAATACTAACTACTCAATAGATGATTTTTTTAAATGTGTTCTTTAAATGTATTGTTTAAACACTGTATTTTAATGTGATGTAAGGTGCTTGAAAAGTATTTTGACGGCGAGTGTTTTAACCAATTACTTTTTACTTCTATAAATTTTTCAGCGACTGTTGCCACGAACTTTTGGGGCACATGCCCCTCTTGGCGAACCCCAGCTTTGCGCAGTTCTCGCAAGAACTGGGACTCGCGTCTTTGGGTGCATCCGATGAAGACGTCAACAAATTAGCAACGGTACGCACATCACGATATATTTTAATCTGTTCCGTTATCTTTTATAGCAATGAAAATTCTTCTATTATTTCTACCACGAGACAGAAAAAGAATAAAAATGCACCTTGACGTTAGTCAAAAATGGAAATGTTATATAACGATATAAGAACCTTATTATTTAGGCAAAAAATGCTCAGCTTCCATTATATGAACTTCAAAAAAAAAATTTATGTCCAGCCAAGCAAAAATTGTGGCCATTGTTAATTTTATGCCGGGCGTCCTGAAAAATATATACAACGTGGATAGGTAATAACGAAAAACGGGCTATAATCGTTTTTAAAACAATCCTGTTTACTGATCTCTGAAATTTTATCCCACTTTATTTGCTTCAACTAACCAATCAATTTTTATTATGCAATTTTAATAATTTCTGAATTAATGAGTCAGGAAATTTTATCATGCACGTTGGTTGTCCTTTTTTTCAACGTTAAGAGAAAGAGAAACCCAGCAAGCAAATAAACTTAAAATAAAACAGATATTATAATAATATCAGTAAAATATGCAACTAGAAACTGGAAATAATGGAAGATAAAAACTAATTATGATTAATTAATTAACCAATTAACGATCTGGTAAACTTCCAATGAACAGTTATTAAATATTTGGTCTTTATAATACTACCTGCTCAGAAAATGATATATGCATTGTGTAGAGTGGCCTAAAATGAGTATACTCAACGCGCGTGAAAAAAGTCGGAGTTAGTTTTAACCTCTCTGTATAATTCAATAACATAACGAACCTATTGCAGCTTTACTTCTTCACGGTAGAGTTCGGACTTTGCAAGCAGGACGGAGAACTCAAAGTCTACGGGGCGGGTTTGTTGAGCTCCGTCGCAGAATTGGGCCACGCCATCGAGAACGCAGAAACAAAAGTACGACGTTTCGACCCCGATGAAACTTGGAAACAAGAGTGCATCATTACCGACTATCAGCTTGGTTACTGGTACACCGACTCGTTCGAGGAAGCCAAAGAAAAAATGAGGTAATCTTCAAAATAACTGAAAGCTTTCGAGAAACTAACAGCTTCCAATTCGTATTTTCTCACAAAAATATAACTTTTATTGGATAATATACTGCCACTACTACGGTAAATGTAAAACTAACCTGCACATTGCGTTATTTTGTTTTTCAGTAACAATATCTAAACACTTAATTCCTTTTTACCTGAACGTTTGGTGAAACCTGGACTTAATTTGCGAAAATAGTGCCATAAAAATGCCGCATTTAAACTTATTGACGATCTGTCAGCCGCCATGTTGGTTGTTGAATGCCTCAAGGTCGTTGGTTTAAAACGAGAATTTAAATGCCACGCATGCGTACGTTGTCTGGACCTTCTCAACACTTTTTTCATAATTACTCCATAAGTTCCTGTATTATCAGAACAGACAAGGCCGTAATAGGTTTAGTACCTTGAAATAATTGTTAACCAAAATCGAATCTGAACCTGCGTTTCTTTACGTCAACAATGGCAAGTGTTGCCAACAAGAGTTTTTATGCCACAAAATTATAATTATTTTTATTCTGTGCAACTGCAAAAATCACAATTTGAATTTTCAACTGTAGAAAGTTCGCTGAAGAAATTCAAAGGCCGTTCGGAATCCGTTACAATCCGTACACCCAGAGCGTCGAAGTGCTTAGTAACGCCCAGAAAATCACTGCTGTGGTTTCCGAACTCAGGGGCGATTTGTGCATCGTCAACAGTGCTCTGAAGAAAATCAGCGCCCGAGATTCCACTTTGGACGTCAACAAAATCGCCAATCTTCTTCAGACCGGATTGGTTACACGAGACGACAGCGAAAACGGATCCGATTTACCGAACGAAACCACTGACAAACCTAAAATCTAACTGCGTGCACTTATAAAGTTAATGGATTGCTTTGATGTAAATAAAATCGATTATAATCAGTTGTCCAATTTATTAAGTTCATGGAATTTAATTAGAATTAATTAATTTAATTAGAATCGAATACTACCCCCAAATAGGTGGTATAATTTTTCCACAGGATATTTTTCGCATTAACGTTCTACCATGCCCCAATTAAATGCTATGAATGTTTACCCAATGAACCGTTTATTCCGAGGATATAGGCTTTCCATGTTAAAGGAAGAAGATTTCTGACCTTTACCTAACATTTACTCGTTTGATTTTATTGATTTCATATCTCTTACTCACAAAATATGGGTAAAGCGAGTGGGTTTTCGATAAAATTCGATGAAGATTACCTACAATCTCTTGTTGAAACTGACAATTCAGGAGTCTTTTTGGATAATTGCCAGTACCACATTGCCTTACATCCAGCTCAACTAGGTAGTTTTAAAAGTTCCATAGCTGACGAACTGGGTAGGAAAATAGCTAAATATGATAAAAGGTAAATTGACTTACAACTGTTTACAAATGACATAAAAAATAGATCGCTTCTCTGTTTTAGTTTCGATGGAATTTTGCTGGGTTTTAAGAATGTCAAATCTGCGTCCAGATTGGGAGTGATCGGACTGGACAATTGTTTTGTACATATTGACGTAAACGCTGATTGTTATATATTTCGACCCGAAGTAGGGATGATTTTAAAGGGTATTGTGACGAGGAGCACCAAACATCATGTCGGCTGTCTGGTATACAATACATTTAATGTTTCATTAACAAATATGAACTCGGACCAAAACTGGCAAGGTTCAGATGCAAATCCGGGTGATCAAGTATGTTTTGAAATAACCTTTGTCGACCAGGAAACTAGAATGCTGTATATCAAGGGAAAATTATTGTTAGTATAGTAGTTTTATAAAATCGCCATTAAAGAGTAGCAAGATTCTATGAAAAATTTAACAGATTTGCTATATTGACTAATATTTACATGATGTTGCTGTCACTTAAAAGATGAGTTCTCACATTATTTGCAGTGAGTCAAAATGATTATAAATAAGTTTATGAAGTATGTAGAACAAAAATTTATTTTAATATATTATTTGGCATAAGAAGGAAAGATGAAAGATACTCATGCCCATAAATGAATAAAATTACAAAATTGTTGATAAAAAAGGTATGCACAGTTATTTTGCCTGGTTATTGTAATTTAAATACATAAAAAAGTAGTTTGAAAATGTGGTGATGTGGTGACAAAGCTAAAATGAGTTTTTTATATTAAATTGCCTTTTCACTAGGATTTTCGAAAAATTTGTATAATTTAAACAAAATGGTTTTGAAAGAAGCCAGTAGAAGAGAAGAATAGAAGAGATAATTTCAGATCCTTTTATACCGTTTTCGTCATAGACGAGGGTTTTTTCTAAGAGTCCAAGTAAATTAAAAATGGGTCAAGTACACTTCCCTTCATGCACAGTAATGACTATTCTCAAATGTCACTAAGCAGTCTAAAATTTATGTACACCAAGTTTGTTTACAAGCATATAAGCGCATGCAGTAAGAAAGTTACATATTTCCTTAAGAATGGGTTCCAAATTATTCATAGAAAATATGACAGGTACCAAAGAAGTAGGAGGGGGAACATGAGAATTATTCAGGTCCTTAAAAAGGGATTGAGAGTGTGATTAAGGTCTCCTGCTTCTCCGCATTTACACAGGTTAGATGCTTTCACATTAATCCTGTATAGATAGGCCGGGTAACCACAGTAGTTGCTTCTTAATCTACCCAAAGTATTTTCTTTTCTTGTGAGATGCAACCCATGTAACCTAAGTTTAGCCGGAGGGTCCTTATGGAAACTGATATAAATCCTACCTCTCTAAGATCCCATTCTTCTTCATCTTAGAGACCAAGAACTCCATAGATCATTTTTAACAACTCTAAAAAAATCTAAAAATAGGGGTCGATTTCATAAACCCAAGGGCAATTCTAAGTCTCTGATATTGGACTCTATTTAGTTTAGCAATAACCGAATATGAACAGTTGCTCATAATCATAGATCCATGATCTAGATGAGATAACAAAGGCTTTATAGAAAGTTAGAAGAGTAGACGAATGCGCCCCCCACCAAGTCCTTGCTAAATACCTCATAATATTCATCCCAGCTGAAGCTCTAGATATCAGCTACCTCCAAATAGGTGGTATAATTTTTCCACTGGATATTTTTCGCATTAACAGATATATATGGAGGTATAACCCTAATTATCCTTTTAGGAATAATTACCTCGGCCGACTTAGAAGGACTAATGGATAAATCCAGACCGTGCAGGAATTTTGCCACATTTTCTAATGTTTGCTTGAGAACTAAACTCAAATGAGGCAAGGCTCGATCTGCCTCAACAAGAGCAATATCATCGGCAAACAGAAGTAATGTAACTTCTGCAGGAATACACTCAGAGATACAATAAACATAAATATTAAAAAGACGAGGCGCGAGAGGAGAGCTTTCTGGTACTCCCTTGGAGGACCAACTTAAAAAGAAGTGCAAGCATCCCTAACCACAAGCTTCCTCTCCGATGGTAACCTTTTTATTGTATCCACAACATCTTGTGGAATTCCCATACTATTCATAGCTACATAGAGATAGTCATTGTTAAAATTATCATAACTAGAAGCTATATTCAAAATCACCAATTTACAGGGAATATTACTACTAAGATTGCTCAGAATTTTGGTGCTCAACATGGCAGGATTATTATAAGTCCGTTTACCCTGGCGGAATCCGGTTTTAGAATTAGAAAATAACATAAAGTGTTCCAACTCCCATTCCATTCTCCTATTGAACACAGAATTTTACAAATACAGGAGGAAAGGTTAATCAGGCGGTAGGAAGATAGCATCTCTGGATTTCTACCTGGTTTAATGAAAGGAACTACTAATTGAGTCCTCCAATTCTCTGGGACTGGTCTAATATTCTTAAGAACCGAGTTAAAAAGGTTGGCAAGGTAGACGACAGCCTCAAAATGAAGATGGTTGGGTCTAAAATTTCTAGTTTCAAATTCAGCAATGCAAGTGTCATGAGGATAGCAATGCCGAAGGAGTTGCTGTGGGGAAGTTAATAAAAGCATTTTTATATTCCCTTTACTACACGCATGAGTTATTTTAGTTGGAGGTACTATATAACTCTCAATTGCCGTTTCAATTTTGTTATTTTGTCGTGTAAATTATTTTCTATGATAAAATGCCCTTAAGATTGAAGATGGCCTTTCAGATTCAAAACAGTTATTTGTTGTTGTTAAATATTTTATTTTTACTTAATTTTTTTTTTCCATCGTGTAAGTGGTTAGTTATTTTACCCATTATGTCGTGGAATTTATTATACTGACATTCGCAATTCAGTTAGGTTTGGTTTTGGAGGTGGGGGTTCCGTGCTGGTATGAGAGTGTATGTTGCATTTTAATGAGGGAATTATGAACAAGGAAATGTACCTGTATGTAAAAGTGCCGCAAAGTTAGAAATTCCAAAAACTTTGCTTTTTACCACCTTAATTGACTGATATCAATGTTATTTAAAATCTTTGCGACCATCTGGAACAAGTCATTAGCAATATTTCTAACATCGGCGATCTAAAGAATGGGCTAATATCGACCCCAGTTTTTGCGAAAAACAAGTCAGTTCCATCCTAAGGAGTAAAGAACTTATTATGAAGTATTAAAAAATCATTTAAATAAAAAATATGGTATATGACTCGGTGTATGAATTTCATTTTGAAGTCCGATGTTTCGGGTATGATTTATTTTTTTATTAAATTGTTTTTTTTTGTTCATGCACATCTGTATCTGCCTTTATTATGCCAAATGAAATAATAATATTAATTTTGGTACTATCTACTCAATGAAATTGAAATTATTAGTGTAGAAGTTTCATTTTGACTGCTTCTTAGTGCTTTTAATAAAAGAGTCTTAAATTCATTAATCAAATTTTACCTATCTTTTTTTATATATTTATAGCAATTGTCTTCTTTTACAGGTCCCTGAAGAAGAAGCAAAATCAAATATCCTCTAATAATGTTGATGCAGAAAAACCAAGCTGGGGTCAAGAAAGCATACCTGATAATAGCTTCAAAGAAGACGTAGCTGGAGAGATATCATCACTTTCCCAGAGAGAAGGAAAAAAGAAGAAAAAGAAAAAATCCGAGGCTTTGCTGAACAACTCCGATGAATTGGAACAGTCATTAAACATGTTTAACGCAGCTAACGAGCTTAATGTGAAGGAAATTAATTCAGAAACAGCAACAACAGAGGGTCGGAAAAAGAAAAAGCTGAGAAAATTAGCTGACGATGGTGTGACCGCCGGAGCTTCCCTACAAAATATGATTACAGATGATGCAGGAGAGATAACGCAGCGTGAGGGGAAAAAGAAAAAGGAAAAACATGTCGACGAACTCGATAAATTAAACTCGGATATAATCAGCAGAATATTTAACTACAATATTCCACAAAAGGAAGAATTCACAAGTTCTAAGAAAATAAGCGATGATAATTCGGAGATCGATTTCAATGAAAATAAACCAAAAAAGAAAAAAGTATCAAAATTACTGTATGATAGCGTTCAGATTGCTGCGGGTAAAACGTCAGCCGATGATAGTGAAAGAGAAGTCAATTCACGAAAACAGAGTAAAATACAAAATCAAAATATTGCAATGACAGGTTTTGTTACAGACGCCGTAGAAGAGAACATGGGTGAGGTATCTATGGAGAAGATGGTCTTGGAAACGCCGACGAAGAGGCCTAAGAGGAGGCAGAACAAATCACTCGAGCATTGTGTTTTAAATAACTTTGCAGATGATACCAGTGGGACAACAAAAAAGTTGGATGTTAACATACAGAGCGAGTTAATAAGAGCCGGAGAAAAATCGCCAAAACAAAAGCGAAGAAAATCAACGACCGACGTGTCATATAGTGAAGACAAAATTAATGATCCAAATGCGTCTAATGGTGGACCCCAGCTAGAAGATCCCAGTAAAAGTAGAACTAACCGAAGTCCCAAAGAATCAAAACTCTCTTCCATCAGCGTTCCAGATAGTGTAAGTGAAGTAATAGAAGAGGTTGTGAAGAATTCATTGAAACAATCCGAAGAGAAGGAAGCCACGGTGAGTGATATTTTGGAAACGTTGAAAATGAGTATGATAATAGGCGCTAAAAGGAAGCGAAGGAATTCTGTGGCGGGTGACGTTTTAACACTCAAAACGTCAGATGAAGATGGAACAAGCACAACAGGCGAGGGGAAGTTGCAAAGGAAAGAAGAGGTACCCTTTGAAGAGTTAGATTTGAACGTGTTGTTTGAAAATTCTCCCGTGGGGAATGTAAAGCTGGAACGGGATTCAGACTTGGAGAGGACGACCAAGAAGAAAGAGTCGAGTCTCCGGTGAATATTTTAATAATTTGTTTTATTATTTGGGACAACAGGGAAACGGAGCAAGAGATTCTAACACACTTTTACCTCAATTAAAATGTTTTTTTTAATCTTTTCCTCCCTATTTAGAAAATCCTTGATCACTTGTTTGTTGTCCTTATGTATAGATAGGAGTGAGCATTTCTTCTCTTGTATCTTCTTTATTCTCTTTTTCTAAAACAATTTTATAACCATTGTCTTCTTTTAAAGGTCTCCCAAGAAGAAAGTAGATCGAATATCCGCGAATAATATTGAGGCAGAATTACCTAGTTGGAGTCAAGAAAGGAAACCTGATGAGAACTTCGAAGAGAGCGTAGGTGGAAAAATATCGTCTGTGGCCCAGAGAGAAGAGAAAAGCAACAAAAAGAACAAATCTGGGACTAGGCTGAACAAATCGGATGAGTTGACAGATTTGAAAAAAATGAAGAGCAGTACACAGGCATGTAAAATCACGAACGACGAATTTAATGAAATCAACGCGCTTAAAGTAAAGGAAATTGATTTGGAAACATCAACAACGGAGATGGGTTTGGAAACACCGACAAAAAGTCATAAAAAGAAGCAGAAGAGCAAATCTCTCGAGGATGGTGTCTTAAATAACAACTTTCCCGATGGCACAACACTGACAGCTACGCAGGCGCACGATACGACGAAAAGAAAAAGAAATAGTAGCGAAAAGTGGGAAAATTATATAAAGAAAGAGTCAATGACAGCTGGAGAAACTTCTGCAGAGGAATGGGAAGCGGTCGAAAAAACGCCAAAAGAAAAGCGACGAAGGGGTGAGACCCAGCAACTGGGAGATCCCGATAAAAATAGATCTGACCAAAGCCCAGAAAAATCGAAACGTTCTTCAATAAAGGTTCCAGATAGCATAAGTGAAGCAATTGAAGAGGTACTAAAAAATTCATTAAAAGAATCTGAAGACAAGGAGTCTGCGGTAAATGAAATTTTGGAGACGTTGAGAATGAGTATGATAAAAGGCGGTAAAAGAAAGCGTAGGCATTCTGTGGCTGGTGACGTTTTAGCGCCAAAAACGTCAGACGAAGATCGGGAAAGCGAAAGGGGCAGCGCCAAAACGAAAATTAAAAAGGTAAAAGGGGAACCAGCCAGCTCGGAATTAGAAGGAAAGAAATTACAGTCGAAAGATCAGGATTCCCTCGAAGAGTTAGATTTGAACGCGTTGTTTCAAAATTCTTCGGTGGGTTTGAAAATGGGCGAACTGGAACATGGGGCGGAACCGATTAAGAAAAGGAGGAAGAGTTTTTCGCAGAGCTTATCCGTGGAAAATATAAAGTTGGAGCCAGATTCAGACTTCGAAAGAGCAACAATACGGCATAGTTAAGTTTCGGCTGAATATTTTTGTGTGCAGTCTATTATGTAATTTTGTTTTAAATAAATGACGTATTTTAGAGCGACAGATTACACGTTTTTACTCGCTTCTTTAAAGTACCTAATTTACGACTTTGGCTTCATTTTCTATGGCGGCAAGTCACTTCAGTAATTTCCTGGATATTACACACGGGTTTGGACGTAATCGGATGTTTTCGGAGATATTACCTACGATCAAAACCGAAACTAACCGCCTAATTTTTTTAAACAAACTTCCACAGGCTACTGTAATACTTGTTTATAAATCCAACCTGCCAAACATCCTATTGGCTTCTTCAGAGGTTAACTGAAACTGTTGACTTTTAGTTAAGCTCAATCAATTACCGACGCATGAAGAATCAGAAGAGTTGTAAATAGTAAAAATTCTAAAATCCCGGCTTAGAATATAAAGTTTATGTAGTGAATAATACGTTTTCTCGGAATTAGGAATCTCTGATCGCTCTTAAGGGTTTTTCGTTTCGTATTTCTTCCTGTTCAGGGTGACATATATATGTAGGAAGTTGTAACAGCGCTTTAGTTTGACGTGCTTTGTAACTCTAATGTATACATTTTTGGTTGAGAAATGGACATCCCAAAATTGTTGCTTCTGGTTTTAAACACTCTCGTGATGTTTTTTAATTAAATACTTTTTTCATTTTTCTATAAATCTTTTTAAGCGTGTCAGTGTGAAGTTTTGAATTTTCTGCTTCATAAACCCATAAGTACATTTCCATATCTTTTTTATAATGGAATTTAGGATTTTACAAGCTGTGTATTTGCAAGTTAGGCTGACTTGTTCTAACTGATTTCTGCGATCCAATACCTGTTTTCCAAATGACCCTTTTCCCAATTAGGATATTTTAACATTTATAAAGGTCGCTAATAAAATATAGAAAGAAAGATAGTGAATATATACTTAACATAAAATATACTTACCCGTTAATTGGCGATTTCGAAGATCCATCCATGCGGCTCTAGCGTCACGTGTGGTTTTGGTATAGTGCGTTGTTTTGCTTATATGTTTAGCATAGAATGATTTCACCAAACTGTGTTGTTTATAGGTATCATTTCAAGGGAATTGAAGTTTCTCACTTTGTCTGATCAAAGTAGTGCAACTAACGTAAAAATTAATAATAAAGCGGAGGAAGCCTGACACATGAAAGCAATGAGATAAAACTTAATGGAAACCCAGTCGCCAGCGACTTTAACATCAGTTAAATGAAAAATTTTGAAGGTAAAATTCCACTCAATTGACTGCACTTTTTTCAAGTGATTTCTAACATACCCTGTTAAAAATCTACTCCATCGTCGTCCACAAATAAAGGATCTCAAACCGGCAGTATATCCGCTAATTCTCAGATAGGAAGGTCGAGAATAAAAACCACACCATTGAGGAAATAAATACCTGAATACTTTACTCTCACTGGAATATATAAATAATACATCGTCACAATGACAATGTGTCATCGTCCACTCTAGCGCGCCTAAAACTAACCTTAGAAGCTAAAAACGCCATATACAAAATTCCTCCGCGTTGAAACTAATATTTCGCATACCCCCGTCGGTAATCCGAAAAAAAAAAACAACGTGTCATTCAATAACTTTGCTCCAATCAAAATAATCCGATAAAATGGCGACGGGCCTATCGGCTTTAGAACCGCAACTTTGACAGAAATCGTCAAGATTCTGCCGCGGCTGCAAATATAAACGTCAAATAGTTAATTGCTTTTTGCGTTCTAAAGTCGACGCCCGTCGTCCCTCGCTATCACGGTAATATGGTTATATTCAAATTTACATATCCTCACGGCCATTTCTGGACCGTCGTGTCCGTTATGTGGTCGGGCTTCAGTCCGTTCTGGAACCTGTCCCACATTTTCATGTAGAGCAACTCCAACCCTTGAGCGTACTCTCTGCAATCGAACAAGGGTGACGTCGACCTCGCTGTCCACACTTTGTGCCGCATCGCCTTCAAACTGCAACAATTATCGAGTGTTTACGATGGATAAGGCCGCATTTTACCAAAAATTTTTTTTGGATTTGTAGATAACATGCATAAAACATACATTGGAAATACTATATTGATTATGCTTCATTTTTTGAAAATATATATAACTGGTGCGTGAACACAACACCGGTTTTTTCTGTGAAACAAAACTTTACAAAAAATAAACATCCAACAATTAGCGTGTTCTTTAGTCTTAGTTTGTGCCTCGTGCAGTGAACATTACAGTATTTTACTCAAAAGGAATTAGAGGCGGCTATGGAGGAGATCGTGAGGACAATAACAATGAAAGCCGTAAGTATTATTTGGATTTACGTAAATTTATGCTAAAAATAATGTGAAAAAATATTTACAGAACATATTGACGCGGTCTATATTCCACCCGACGTGAATACCTTGACTGACGAAGAAGATACGAATGATAACATAAATCTACAAGAGTTTGGGGAACCAACTGATATAGTTGGCACTTTCGAGTTACATACACCGAATGATACAGCTGTCCTTCAACAGTATTGTAATTCATCAACTACTGAACCTGAATGGGACTCATTAGATGATAAAACCTGGAATTCAAAAGAAGACGTATGCTTTCTGCAAACGACATGCTTGCTTCTACTGTCAAATGGAAGAAAGGTCAGATTGAGTACACTCACACACCTATATCCGATTAATTTAGATCATGTGGGGAACTAAAAAATAGGCTTTCTGGAAAAACTCCGCTTGAAATATTTTGTATGTTTTTTGATGATGAAGTGATTGATTTGATTTTAAATCTTACATTGCTTTGCGACTTATAAAAACTGATAAAACAATTAAAAATTACAAAAAAATCTTGCACCTGCCATAGATTAAGTGCATTATGATAATCAAGGTCACCTCATGATTGTTCATGCTAATAAAGCCCGAAGGAGATGTAGAATCTGCCAGAGCCACACAATTTACGTTTGTAATAAGTGTAATGTGCATTTACATACTTCATACTTTGTAAAATATCAACAAAAATGAAACCGGGTGTTACCAGTGGTGAGCTCACGCACCATAAAACATTATGCGTTTTTTTTTTGTATCAAATCGGGTTCTATTTGGAAAACAATCTACCTTTAGTTGTTTTCTGTCGAATTTGAACTTTCTTTTGTATATTTATGTATAAATTATATGTTACATCTTATGTGCCCCAAAACATTATTTAATGTTTTTTCCCCGTGGTTCGTTTACGCCCCAGTATTTTTTTGTATGTTTCGAGTTTTTATTTATTTTTTTTGACACATGTAATGTATTCTTAAGTGCAACAAAATAATTTCAGAGCAAAAAAGCATTTTTTTTTATTTTTTTTTATAATGTGGGTTAACGTTTTATTATAAGGTAACCACAATTGATTGTGAATACTTCAAAGACTTCTTGTTTCTTGTTATGGATTCGTTACATCACAGATTTTTATTGATATTCTATTAAAATATTGTTTGCTATCGTAGATACTTGCAAACTTCTCTAAATTGGTGCATTCTCTATCAACCTCCTTTCTTCATTTCTCTCGTTTCTTGGCGTTTTTTTGGTTGCGATTAATTTTTTTTTTTTTTAATTTTAATTGATCAATATTAATAATTGTAATTATTTCAACTGTAGATTCGCGAGCGTAGAATAATACAATTTACCCCAAATCAAAATGTGGACTGATGAACAGAATGTCCCAAATTCGAACGGAACTGGCAAACCGGAAGAGATACATAGCCGGTGAAATAGAGGGATAGTTGCGCATTTTGATTCGTAATTTAAATACCCTGAAAAACCGAAAATCAGCAATTTCTTTTGAATTTTTTCCTGACCTTAATATAAAACATTTTTGAAAAGACAGCACACTTTCTCATTACAACTTTTTGTCTGCTATAAGATGACATTTCGATTTTATGTGCCCATCAACAACTTATTTTTTTTAACACAACCGAATTCGCATCTCTTACGGTTTCCGAGATCCCAATAGTCTCCCTTGAATTTGGAATAACCTGTACAGGGTGTGTGTGTTTTTTTTTTAAAAAGGTGGTTAGTACTTTAAAAATTATTCGACTTAGTATTGTCACAATTGTCCGTAAGTGTAAGTACTGCACATCCTATAAATTTATGTTAAATAAAGATTTCTTCTGGCTACTACCACCAGAGACGTACGACAGGGTTAAGTGGCAGTTTGACCTTCCCCAAATTCTACACCAGTGGCAAAATTGCGATTTTAACACAATTTTCTGATTCTCTAATATTTTTTTATATAAATTATAAAATCCAATGAAAAGGTATTAAACAAAAAAGATTTGATTTTTCTAAGCTTTAAAACAGTACTTTACCTATGGTTAACATTTGAAATTTTTGTTTTGTAGAAACCGAGTTTGCAGGATTTTGGCGCCCCGATGTAGAACATTAATTGACGGCCCTCAAATTTAAGTTTACAAATAAATTCAACATGATTAGTATTACAAACAACAAAATGAAATAAATATTTATCTATATCTTACTTACTTCAACAGATTTCAGAATTATTGCACTGAAAACTACATTTATGACCTTTTTTTTTCTTGCTTTTATGAATTACCCACAATCTCGAAAAATGGAATTAATGAATATATCTAAAATTGTTAATTAGAATGAAAATCTCTTGAGAATCAAACATTTTTTTCGTGTTCGAATTTATTTTTCATTCTATTTTAAAAATTATTTCGACAAAAAAATTTGACAGGTCAATTCCACAACGCCTAATGCCTAACGATTTGGTTAAATCTTTTGCTATCATTAAAATATGTTTAAAATTGTTTAAATATTGTGTAAATTACGACTTCCTCATATGGAAGCGAAGATAACAATTACGCCCTCTGGTTGCCATTTAAGATACTCGAAAATAATCTCCAGCATTTTCGGTTGGGCGATCAATTTTTAATCAAAAAATAAGTAGTTCCGGTCATCCGGATTTGTGAAATTGTACTGTAATTAGGGTTGTGGAATTGACCGGTCAATTTTTTTTGTGTCAATTGACCGAAATAGTTTTAAAAATGCAATGAAATTCATATTTATTTATTTATATTGTGCATTACTCCGCCATCGCGTCGTTCTGAGAACTAAATGGAGTGGATATTTTTATTTTATCGTATTCGGGTATTCCTTGAAGAGGGTTATAGATAAATTCTACATCACAAACGCATAATAATTTATTATAAAATTCATATTATTATTAAAGTATGATAGATAACTCTACAACAGTTATTTAAAATATTTTGATCGAATTTGACCAGTCAATTAAGAAGTGGTCAATTGACCGGTTAATTAAGAAGTAGTCAATTGTTGGTCAATTAAGAAGTGGTCAATCGACGGTCAATCAAGAGGTGGTCTGTTGCCGGTCAATTTAGAAGGGGTCAATTAAGAAGTGGTCAATTGACCAGCCCCAACACTAACTGTAATACAACGAGAACTTACTACTCCTTGTCCGTTCCGAGCTGGATGGCGATCTCTTGGTACTCCTGTCGCGATCTCGCGATTAACTCGGGACAGCCGAGGGTGTTCAGCTGACTAGCGGCCACCCTGGAGGCCAGCGTCTCGCTGGGCAATGTGACGACCGGCGTGCCCGTCCACAATACGTCCATGCTGGTCGTGTGACCGTTGCACAGGGGCGTATCGAGGCACACGTCAGCCAGCTGACCGCGTCTGACGTGCTCTTCTTTAGCGGCAACGTTGCTGAAGAGAATACGGCCCGGCGGCAGCCCCAACTGTTGGGCCGTGTTCAAGAGGTTCGGCTCGCCGACTGCAGGGAAACGCAGCAGCCACAGTACCGAGTTGGGAACCGCTTTCAAAATATTAACCTGGAACAAAACGAGACAGAAGGTTTGAGGAGAATGGTATAAATGAAAATTTAATATCTTATCAGAAGCTCAATGCGGTTTTAGGGGAAGAAAAATCTTAGAAAATACGATATTTGACAAGAGTCGTGCATTTTTGTTGCCCTCTCTAGCGTTTCATACCAAATTCTCTTGCCAAAACTGAAAAGTATGGATTGAGACGAAAAGTTGTGGAACTTCTTAAAAGTAGTTTGACAAACAGAAATCGACATGAGATTAATGGTTTCAGATGGTGGAGTGGAATAGAAACCAAAGTTTTAGGCTATCTGCAATTTTGATGCCGTTTTAGTTACAATATGATTAGGAAAAGCAGACTTTGATTACAATCTGGAATCGAGAAGAAGATCCTACTATCAGGCCAAGAGAGAAAGTTGTTAAGTTGATATCTACGGTTTTAAGATTGATTGCGCTACAATAACTGGCGAAAAAGCCGATTTTGACTGTAATCCAATTGAAATCAATTGAAAACAAAGGAAACTATTTGACTCGACAAATTATTTTTTATGGATGCCGTCCAGATTGTTTTTAGTGTAGATATAAATGACTTGTTGGAACTAATACCCATTGTTGAAATGAGTTTCTCAGATGGCACTATACTCTTCTATATGACAGATATTCGGAAAGAATTATAAACTGCAAATGAAAAAGATTTTACAATAATAAATGCCTGATTTCATATCATTAAATAAACTCTAAATTATAAATTAACCCCTTGCAATGTATGAAAAATATTGGCCAAATTTTGGTATTTTAAAAATAAACAATACATAAGAAATTTCTCGAACAGAATCAATTCAATACTTACCGAGTCACCAAAGAGGGGCATATAAAATTGAATTTAGAAATAAAAAGTGTATTAAACAAAATACGAGGGTTTTGCCCAATATTAGATGATATTTTAAGGAACTCTTAGCACCGTCCCATCCATCATATGGGAATATAGTTAAAAAAGAAACAAAAATATTGGATGGATATTAGCCAAATTTGTTTCGAAATATTAAAACAAAATTATAAAGGAAAATACCGCTGAAATACAGAATAAAAAATATACTTTCATAAGCAATATTTTTCAAATTAAAATTTTGTTCAAGTTCATTATACTTGTTTTGTGACATATGTTTTTTTTTTAATTTCATTGTGTTTTTTTGTTGGGATTTACTTTTCAAGCGTTGTCAGCAAGAAATAAGAAATTTTCTTTTCGCTTTCAGTATAGACGCGTGTCGTGTGAGGTGCCTCAAGGCTCAGTACCGGGTCCTATTTCGTTCATTTTGAAATAATAATACTTTATTTCCAACAGGTAACATGACCCAATTAAAGGAAATACTAAATATAAATCATCCTATACATGTACCAGGGGATGTAAAAACTAATCTTAAATCTACTAATCTTATAACTAAAAAAAAAGGAAAGAAGGAAAAAGCAAAGCATAAGACTTATCGGTACGGATAACCCGACGCCAATCGAGACTGGAGACCTGGAGACCATCACAATATAAATCGCAGTGCAATGATAGTTTGTTGAAGGTGGCACACATATTGTAAATACGGTTTTGAAAATGCCTGGGTAACTGCGGTAAGAAAGTTGATTGATGTCTCCCTTCCAGCAGCGGCACATGAAAGCGTAATTGTTCCAGAAGAAACGGACAATCGACTCCATAATGAACTAACTTATAGAGAAATGAAACAGACTGCAAGTCTCTGCGCAAGCTCAGAGGCAGTATAGCGAACCTTCTTAGCAGAAGATCAAGATCAACTTCCCTCTCAGGATAGGAACCGTCCTTCCTGAACATCAGATACTTTTGTAACCTTCTCTGCACACTCTCAATAGACTGAGTGTGGCAGTTATAAATTGGTAACCATATCAGCGAGCCATAGTCAAGCTTGGAACTAACGTAACAGTTAAATAACAATTTAACACTAGCTGAACTTCAACAATGCCTACAATTTCTTATTACGAATCCTAAAATTTGCATTGCACTGGAACCAATTTCAGTAATGTGAGGTACAAAAGAGAACGACTGGTCAATTAAAATCCCCAGATTCTTCACAGTGGCAAGCCTAGTCAGGACAGTATCATCCATATTGTAAACAATTTAGGTGTTTTTTACACTTGCTGATGTCAGTAACCTTCTCTGCACACTCTCAATGGACTGAGTGCGGCAGTTATATGGTGACCATAGCAGCGAGCCATAGTCAAGCTTGGACCTAACATACCAGTTAAAAACAATTTAACAGTAGCTGAGTCACAAAAATACCTGCAATTTCTTATTATGAATCCTAAAATTTGCATTGAACTGGAAACCGTTTTAGTAATGCAAGGTACAAAAGAGAACGTCTGGTCAAATAATATTCCCAGATCCTTCACAGTGGCAAGTATAGTCAGGATAGTACTATCCATATTGTAATTAAAGATTATATATAAGAAACCACATTACACTTGCTGTTGTTAACTGACTGACTGACAATATTGATGTTGTCCTGGAGAGTCATGCAGTCCGTGTCCATTTCAATGCATTCATATAGTTTTAGGTCATCCGCATAGCCAAGCTTGTAGCAGATGATAAAGGATATTTGATCCTCTATTGAACAGAAGTGGTCCAAGATTGGAACCTTGAGGCACAGCAGATAGGTCCTCGATACTGTAATCAGCGAATCGGAGAAACAAAATTTTTGAGATGCTTTTTCAATCAGTAAGTCATAATCCATCTGGTCAAACTGTTTGTGGAAGTCAGTATATATAACGTACACTTGACCTTGCCTGTTCAAGAAGTCACAGAGATACAAAAACAGGGAGCATAAGTTGGTGATAAATGATCTTTTCGCATAAAAACCATGTTTTTGCATTTATTCCTAATTAGAGCAAAAATAAATTTATGTAATATAATCTCGAATATTTAAGAAAAATTGCACAAGATCGCAAGAGTTCTCAACTACAGAAAGGTCACCATTTTTGAGAATAGGATAAACTTTGACAATTTTACAAGGTTCTGGATCAGCACCTGTTTCAAGTATCGGGTTAAAAATGTGACAAAGGAGCACACAGTATTGGTATTAAAGGGGGGCGCCCCCCGCGGGCATCCAAGCACTTAGGTCACCAGCCATGGAGCACACAGTGCGTGGGAACAGTCTCTCACGATAAAACTTTGTACGCCATCAGGACCGGCGGTAATTATGTTTTTGAGTGCTTTGCTTGCTGATAAGACACCCTGCATGGTAAGCTTAGGTATGTTGGGGTTAAAAGACACGCTTGAAGATGAACATGGTACATAGCAAAAGCTGCAACAACCATATTATGCTCGTGGCATGGCTTGGCAAATAATAAATAAAACGCCTTCCTCTATGGCGTAACGGTAATCATTTCCATGACGAAATGTAACTTACCCACATTTGCAGGGTAGTCGGATCAATCTTGTACAGCTGATTGAAGTTGCAGTACACCACCGCATCGTCAGGCAAACCGTACTGCTGCCTCGTGGTAATGACGATATTTTGGGGCACTTCTTCGCCGGTCGCGGCCTTGTTGTTGGTCTGCGTGGTAGCCAGCCCGTTCTGGACCAGAACGCCGTTCAACGAGGTCTGTACTTGCCCAGAGGCGATCATGTTTTCGATCGGCGTAGTGGTCGGCAGTTCGGCCACCTTCAAACTGATCTCGACCGGCTTCGCCGCCTTCACCACCTCTTTGATTTCTTTGACGTCGGTGTTTTCCACGAGCGGCGACAGATCGGTCGCGTTTATGATGGCGACGTTATCCGCCAAACCGTTACCGCTACGGTCGGACACGATGAGACGTTCCTTCAAGTGCGGGAACATCTGCTTGTGGTCGCCGACGAAATAAGTATACGGCATGTAAGCCAGTTTTTCGCTGTACTGGCTGGCCAGTTCTACTGGGGAGGTGACCGCGTCCGTGATCAAGTAGTCCATGAAGCTCGCGCCGCTCGTGCCTAAGAATTGGAAAAAGCAAATTAAATCCATCGCAGGCGAAGGAGTTCACCAAAATTTTTGCTGGCAACGGAATTCCACAAAAGGGCTGAAAGGCTACCCAAAATAAAATATAGGTTTTAGTTTAATAAGGCAATTTTTTTAGGAATAGTCAGAAAAAGTAGTTAGAACTTCTGGAAGAGAAGAATTTCCGACATATCTCCCGCACGAGGCAGTGCCAATGGAAAAATCAGATATACAGGGTGATTCATAAAGAATTCGTAATCTTTAAACTGGAGCTACTAAACACCAAAATATTATACAATTTTCAAGTTTTTTTATTACTATGACTGAAATTGTTATTGTTAAACATTCATTTATTATTGCTCCCCGTACCTTTATAAAAAAAAATCAGAAAAAATACCTTGAACTTTTTAAATGCAAATAAGTCAAAAACCGAAAGAACTAGACAGCCTAAATAGGGTACCTTTTCTATGAAAAATTGAACATTTTTTCAGATTTTCAACCAAAACTCGAATCGATTTTGCAAAATAATATGAAGAAGGCAGCGGCCCTTATAGGCGCAGCCTAACTGCCAAATTTTATCATTATACTATAAAAACTTTCTGAACTAATGAGAAAATTCAGAACAAAATTAAAACTTTGCACGATCTGTATCTCTGAATAATTGGTTAAGGCATGTTGAGTCAGTTTCGAGTCTAGTAAATTCGGTTTAGAGACTGACCATACTTTATGACTCATCCTGTATATCTGATATTTCAGTTAGCGTTTTCCTTTTACGAGAGACTATGTCAGGAATTCTGAGTTATTCTCCAGAACCTTTGACTTGACTGAATTATTCCTAAACAATTTCTCCTATTAAACCAAAATATATTTTATTTTTGGTGGCCTTTCAGCGCTTACGTAAAATACAAAAATAACCTGTATGTTATATTATATGCAAGGTTAATTTATAACGACCACACGACGGAAAATTCGATTTTCGAATTATTTGATAATAATATGTATTTTATAATAAATTATTATGCGTTTGCGATATGCAATCCCAATCATAATATCGACTCCATTTCATTCGTGACGGCCAGGTAACGCACAATATAAATTTCAATGTATTTTTTAAATTATTTCGCTCAATAACTGGTCAATTGACACAAAAACAAATTTGACCGGTCAATTGCACAATCGTAGGAACTCCGCTGAAAAAACTACCAATGTATTTGACAAAAAATTCTAAAAATATCTTTAGCTTGATTAGTTTAACAGGGGTGGATTAAAGTTGCTAGCGGGCGCCACAATTGAAAAAAAAAAGGTTTCTACTTTCGAGAAAAAAGATGGAAGGTTTAATATTAATTAATTATAGAAAAAAAAAGAAATTTCTTGAATCTGTGCTAGTGCGACCCAGCAACTATTGTTTTAATGCGAGTACATAAATAATAGTTAAATATACCTAAAAAAGAACAAAATTTGGGATATTGAGTTAAACTTTTAGAATCAGTGTTTGGATGCTTATAAAATTATTTTGTTTACGAAGTATACCTGTCAGTGAAACCGAGTGATAACACTTACCGGGGTAACCGAGCCACATCACTTGCACGGGGGCCGGCCTGAGGGCGAATATCTCGTTGCGGGCGCCCTTGGTGTAGCCGTTCATGTTCACCAAAATGTGGATGTTGTCCGAATAGATCCTGTCGGCCGCCTTGCCGTTGCAGGACTCGGAAGACAAATCGATAAAGTGCTCGCATTCGCGCGATATTTTGCTCCTAAATGTCGTGCCGTCGTCTTGACTCAACGCGTAACAAAAAACCTCAACCTAGGGGAGAATATGAGATAATGGTATGCTTTTATTCGGTTTATGTATATGTCCAATTACAAAAACAATTAATAAGAGTGGCGGAATTAAACATAGATGTTCATACAACTTCCCAATGAATCTGAATATTGTAAATTACTAAATTCTATCGAAAGAAAATGATTTGATTATTGAAAGATAATAGTCACATGAAAACGTTTATCCGATAGCTGGCGGGAAAATCTCGATACGAGCAATGACGTCATGACCAAGGAATTTGAACCGATAAGCACATTTTTTTCATTTATTTCGCTAGAAACTTTAACGTTATTATTATCAGTTGTTTTAATTGTCTTACTATTATTTTATAATACATAAGTGTTTTTTTTTGTAAACACCTATATTAATTTAATAAAAATCGGACTTTTTTTACCTTTACCCGGGAATGGTAGTGAATATTGAAAGAGAAAATTAAAATACATCAAGAAAGGTCCCGAAACATTTCATCCAAAAGAAGAAAATGAAAAAAAGCAGCTGAGCAACAAGCATCCCATGTCAGAGGGTTTTCACGAAAGCTCCAAAGAATCACCCGCTAAAAGAAAAAACAAAACCGTGTGATTAGAAAGACACCAAAAACTGCATATTTAATAGACTGTAGACCTATGGAAACTCGCATTAAAGATCACATGAATAAAGTACAATGCTATGGTCAGAGAGCAATTAAAGAGGCCTTCATCAATCTATCAATTCAGACAAACAGGCAATATATACTGTTAGTTACAGGTAACAAGAACCACCAATAAAGATGTTAAACACCATCGACCAAGAGTCACCATCCAGCGAATTTTATCGTCATTCTCTTCATAATCGTTGGATATGCATACTAACCAAAAAGTTCATGATAGATATAATTTGAAATGAAGGCAATGGCTTACCTTAAGCCTGTCGTGCAGACCGGGTACCGACTGCATCAAATGCGAAGTCGGATGGTTGCCGAAGTCGCTGCTCACGTAGCCGATCCGCAATCGTCCCTTCAGCTCGGCGGAGAACCGGTATGGAGGCTTGTGGAGCACGTTCACCTTCTCCAAGCAAAGGTTCGCGTGTCTGGCGGCGATCGCCTACGAAAACGCAATCCATACAGTAATCGAGAACGCGTCGACACGCCCGCCACCGTCAAACTCACCTTCCTAAACTCGTGAGACAAAGGGTACAGCATAGAGTGGTGGGGGTGCACCGACGGCAACCGGTTCTTCTCCAGCTGATCGGCGACGATGTTGACCAGCTTCTTCATGCGCGCGTCGTAGTCGGTCCAATCGCACACGATTTGCAGACAATGCGCCAGGTTGCAGTAGGCGTCCGGAAAGTCCGGTTTCAATTTCAATGCGGTCCGGTACGATTGGATCGCTTCTGGGATGTTGCCTGAATCCTTGTGGATGCTGGCGAGGTTGCTGTGCGCGTCGGCGAACGCCGGATTGATTTGAATGGCGCGTGTATAACACTGCAACGCGCCGGAGACGTCCTGCATCTCCTTTAACGTGTTACCTGCCGAAAGGGTACCCTTATTTGCAGGCGGAATAGTACTAGTTAACTAGACAAGTAACACAACATTCCATAGTGTTACGAAACATGGAAAAGTGAAAAAATAGATATGGTTAAGTGAAGAACACGATTTCTGCCTGACATGCACGGAATAACTGAGGACTGTAAATGGACTTAAAACCACAAGCAGAGCCGGTGCTCCAAAGTTTATAAGTACTCGCTCACAATGCATTAATTTGTTATCCAGGTCAGGTCCATGTAGACTGATTAAATTTTACGATGTCAATTCAATAACACCCTGCATTCACTTAGTTTAGAGGTTTGATGATTATACTCACCCATATTCGAGTAAGCGTCGGCGAACGTCGGCTGGATCCTGATCGCCTCTTTGTAATGCATCAGGGCTTCGTTCAATTTGCCCTGTTGCTGCAATACAGACGCCAGATTGCTGTGGGCGGCCGCGAATTCCGGGAACACCTCCAGAGCTTTCAGATACAGCCTGGTCGCTTCCTCGATAAAGCCCTGCTCCCGTTTGATGTTCGCCAAGTTGTTGAGGGAATCCGCGTGGCTCGGGCATAGTCGCAACGCCGTGTTGTAGCAATCCTCAGCTTCCGAAACCTAAACCGAGGGTAGAATTATCGATATTGTGTCGCGCATACGCAGAAGAATAGAAGGGCCACTCTCAGTTTTCTCATTGCTGCGGTTAGAAAAAAAAGGAATTCGAGACAGTTAGTTGTAAATCTCAATTCCAATTTTTTGCAATGTTGTGGCCTCTCTAAGAGGGATCACCTAAACGTTCTCACCTGGTGTAGAATGAATGCGGGCCACTTGGACGTATAAATTAAGCAAGGGCGAATGTCAGAAGAACCTTTCATTATGTGACTTTCAAAATGTTAGAGACTAATAATGGGGTTAAAGAAAAGAAAAAATGCGAATATTCCTTAGGCTGTACAAGATCCAAACAACTATTATAGTTAGCTAAACACCTATTTCGTGCATTGGAATAATAATAACAGTCTTTATTATATATACATTTAGTAAAATAAATATAAAACAGTACTATTATATGTTAAAAAAAACATCAAGTGTTCACCTATCTTCCTTTTTCACCCAGATGTTTTTTTTTTGATTTTCAGATTTCTGTAATTTCTCAAAATGTGTCCTAAAGGAACTCCTACTTTTTGTCATTAATTTTCTTTTTTACTATTTTTATTTTACTCTCCAAAGTAGCCCGCAATCGTTCTATTTTTACTCAAGTCGTTTTCTGCTTCCATTCTATTTGAACTCACCAAACAGTTTAGTACAAAGTAAAAAACCTGTTTCAAACCACTACTATAGAGGAATCTAGTGAAAAATTACTACCATCCAGAAATGTTTCCTCGTAATGAATTAATAAATCGGGTCTTTCCCGGTTCTGGGTTTGGCCATAGATGGCGCTGTCCATGTTTGCGATATCGACAGGTAAATATTATCGGCAAGAAAGTGACATCATTCTATCACTAAACAAAACCGTGTTATGAAATAAGACAGATAATTTCTAAATAGAAAGATAATAAGTAGAAGGGAAATGTGTTACCTAAGCTTTTGTTTACATATTGTTGTTAAGTTGTAGTTAAAGCAGAGTTTAAATTGTGCTAAATATGTGTGGTGACAGAGAGCATCAACTGAATGAATATCTGAGCAACGAGTAACTTTCTCAAGTAAGTATATTGGCCTTAGAAAAGTAAGGCAAGCCAGTTCACTGCCGAGTTCATGTTCACTGTTTGCAACCATCTACACAACTTATAGCTTTAACACTGATCCAACGATTAATAATAATGTAATTTAATTTAATTTTAATATTCACATTTAAATGTTAATACGAACTTACCCATAACGAGAAAGTTAAGTTGCATTAGACTGAACAAATGCACGCAGAAAATTCTTAAATTCATTGTGCATTTGACATCTTTCTGAATGTATTATCTAATTGCTGAAATAAATGTTACGTTACTTTACATTTTTTTAACAATTATACCACCGACTGATATACTTGATTGTCGCGTCGATACTGAGTGCCAATAAGTGTGCCAGTGAAGAGTGCGGGCAGCGAGACGGGCTGAGAGTGACCCTTCTTACAGTGTTAACATTGAGCGATGCGACCTTCAAAGATTGCAAAAATTGTTCCGAGTCCATTCGTGCTTGTTCGGTCACTAATTTCCTGTCATTCATCAAACTACGCCGGGGTAAAATATTAATGACACGATTCGGGAAGGTTTTATATCGCGTCCTACAAGCTGCCGCGCGCCTATTGACTGCCAACGTCGAAACGTTAATGTAACGAGATGGAGATGGATGTGATCAATCAGGCGCGGGCAAAACGTTGCCCGCCGGCGTTTTTTGGCCAAAGCGGCCGAAAAACAACGCGACGGCACCTATTTACCGATGATCAAAAATAGATTTCGGGTAGTTAAGTGTTGTTTGGAATTAAATGTTCAATTAACCGATCCGGGCCGTGTTTGTCGGATATCGAAAATCTATTAGCGGTTTTGCCTGCCAAAACAAACCCGGCCTTTCGATTGCTTATTAAACTGACAAACGTATTGCCAGTTGCATAAAATGCTAGAAGCGCTACCGGCTTATCTCAAACAAGCAGTGAAGCTAAAGTAATTTAAATTAGGTAATTATTTAAATATGGTGGTGACGTGTCAACTCGAATGCAATATTATAAATTGCAACTAGGATGGAACTTGTATTCGGTTGCCTATGAATGAGAGCTAAGAAACATAAAAAAACTTTCTACAAAACTTCTGGATTCCTGATGCGTCGGTTTTTGCTGAGTTGAAATTGCTGACGTTTCGCAATCATCCTGTTGGCTTCTTCAGACTGACTGAAACTGGCTATTTTAATCTGTATGGTCTGTTCATAGATATAAGAAAGTGACCAATTGCTTTGCAGGTAAAATTGTGGTCGGTAATAGAAACTAATTTTATACTTACCTGTGTTTAATATTCTTTGGTTTGGTATACTACTTACTTTAAGTTTATTAGTAATCATTCTTCTTTCGTGTGTAATACAGCGTGTGTTGAATCCTGTGCGAATTATGCAAAATATGTAAGAGTCTAGTGTATCTCAGGAGATGCTCCCACCCAAATATAGAAAACACTATTTTATTGAGACTAAGGAAGTTATAAATAACGTTTACTTGACTCTCATTGAACGTGGTGCCGGCAAGCAAGCATATTTAAGAGAAACGTCCACATTGACGAAAATTCTAACATCAACTGTATGGAAAATTGTGAATAATCCCATTTCAGAGAGGAAAAAAAAAGCGATGCTGACATTTTCTCGAACGTAGATGAAAGTGATCAAGATCTAATACGGCGTAAAATTTACCAGTTATACGAGTTATACCAGTTATACAAAGAACAAAGCGTGCCTACATTAGATATCTTAATTAGGAGACTTGAAAAAGATGAAACTGGTGTTAAATGTGGCAGAACTGTAGAAGTGTATTCGACATATGGGTTTTAGATTTTAAAAAATTGACAAAAGGCAAGTTTTAATGGAATCTTTTAGAATTCGGAAATGGCGACTGGAATATCTAGAAAAAATTAGGATTTACAGAGAACAACAAAGGCAAATTATTTACTTGGATGAAACCTGATTCGACACTTATGATACCCTGGAAATGGGTTGGCTGACTCAAACGCGCCATCAAAAAGAGGTAAAAGAATAAATATTTTGCATGCTGGCTCTAAAGTTGGCTGGATTCCAAATGGACTTTCTCTGTCTGCGAAAAATATTAAAGATTCTTCTCTGGATTACCATGAAGATACCACCGCTGATTTATTTGAAAGTTGGTTTAAAAACAAACTAGTTTCAAACATTCCCCCTAATAGCGCAATTGTAATGGACAATGGACAAGTTATCACAGTAGACAGTTGACTAAAACCCCTTTCTCATGTGACACAAAAGCAACAATCCAAAACTACATGTATAATAACGACATTTACTTTCACGAAGATACCACTGTATTGAACATGTTTGGTATCAACTGAAATCTGCCATTCGTCGTAACAATGTTTTCCCTATGTTAATTTCAATGTCCTCAAACTTATAGAAACCGAAGTTTTTAACATCCCTCCACAATGTTGGGCAAACTCTGTTAAACATATAGAAAAACCTGAACAATCGTATATCCATATTGCAAATAATATAGAACAAATAATAATTAGAACAGACGATGATAGCGATAGTGATACTGATATATTATGTGAATAATTCTAAATAATTTAAGTAGGTAATAAAAAATAATTTGTAATTTTATTTTAGATTTAAACATAAATACATACATAAATAAATAAATATTGTTTAGTATCTTTCCTAACAAAACCCCAAATAATTAAATTCTAAGCAAAGTACGGACCTGTTCGGCCATATTTTATTCTTACAACTTGCCCGGGTCTTTCCTTAATTCGTACAGTTAGTCACTTTCTTATATCTATGAACAGAATTTATCTGGTTATATATTGTTTGAGGGGGGCGCTAATAAGGGGTATAAACACCGTCTCGGATTGTTAGGTTGTTTATAGATTTCTATAGACTCTCGGATTTTTCGTTGGTAGAAGAATTGATTACATGCAAGAATTTTAGTTTTATCGAATAAAATTTGATGCCGGGTTTCATGAGTGTGTTCGGCTGATGAGTTCATTTGTTTTAGTCGTAAGGCTCTTTCATATTCTTTAAGCCTACTTGATATTTTTCGTCCAATGTATTCTTTGCCGCATATGCATGGAATGCTGCAAACTCTTGGCATCTCAAATGGAATTTTGTCTTTGACATTTTGGTTTTGACGTTATACTTCTTTAGAACTTTTGATATGTGGTCAGTGATGTTTTGAATGTAAGGAAAGACCACAGTGGCAAGTGTAGGATTGCTTTCGGCCTCATTGCTATTGGAAGGTTGTGGAGAAGTGTATTTTTTGATGGAACACTTAATATCTTTAATGTGGAAATTATTAGAGAGAAGAGCAGAGGTAAGGTGTTTTAATTCTGTTTTCAGTGACTCGGGCTGAGATAGTTTTACGGCTCTGTAAACAAGAGAGTTCATAACCGATGATTTTTGGGCAGGATAGTGATGTTACCATGCATTAAGGTATCGGTCTGTGTGCGTACGTTTTCTGTAAACAAGCAAGAAACCGACGCAAGAGTAATCCAGAAGTTTTGTAAAAAGTATTACTGCAGCCTGTGGAAGTTCCTTTGAAAAACATATAAAAACTGTTAAAGACAACAAAAAATACGACAAAACAATAACAAAAATGTAATTGTAATGAGAAAAAAGTAACCCTAGGAATTAGAACGATCCCACGAGGAACATAAAAACAACTAACTCGGCTAAATTATCCACTTGGAAATTATCTTCAGTTAGTATAGTCTACCAAGACTTCATGATCAGTCACACAGTTTAAATAGAGTGTCATAGCGTTCTAGCATAAACCTGTACCAATACAATATAAACAATATTAACCAGGTTCAAAAACTATTGAAGAAAATGATAAATAAAAATCGAAATTAAAAAATGTATACTTTCTAAAAGCCACAAAAAATTATATATACATTACGAAATGTTAGCTCGTTGATATTTTAGGTTAATTCCATAAATTAAAATAATGAAAAACACAAATTGGAAAAAGCTGTTTTAGTAAAACAAATATTTATTAATCGAACTATAACAGAAAAAACTAATTAAAAAATACTAACTGGCAAAGCCTAGTGAATTGATTTTTTTAGAAGCTACAAATCGTCAATTTTTTGTCTAATTTGTTCTATTAGTTTTTTGAAAATAGTATTTTATTATTCTCTTATTTAAAACAATACGTTTACTTCACCCTATCCGAAAATTGGCATTTTCCCTGACATGCAGTTGACATAGACTTCGTTAACCAAAACACTAACTAATAAAAACAAAAAATTTAAAGGATTTTATGTCCATTCAGATGCCGTGGGCATGTATCTATCTAGTACATAGGTACAAATCCAATGGTCCAGAGCTAATATTGGTTTTCATGTTTCGTCTTTTCTTTCATTACCGACTTCTAACTTCAATTTTTTTTGTTTGGATTAAAAGTTTAAGGACTATTTTAATTTAACTCTGCATTAAAATATACTATATTATTGTTTTATAATTGCGGGGCCTCGTTATGGAAAATGTTTTTTTTTCTATGATGAATATAAATCGAAACTGAAGCTCGGCAACCGAAAAGCCTTTGGATTTTACTGTGACATTTCAGTAATGTCCTAACTTTTCTGGGCATTCCACTAGTTGCAGGTTGCTGGGAATATTCATTTTTTAAATTTGGTAAATTAGTTTTCTGCATTTATGCCTACACTTGCCTGTCCTTTTTCCTTGAGCGCGTTGGCCAAGTTGCAATATGCGTCCGGGAAGTTGGGCTGTAGCTCGATAGCTCTTCTGTAGGTGTCGATCGCCAGATCGATGAGTCCCTGCTCGTAGTAGACGCAGGCGAGGTTACCGTGGACGACCGCATTATTTGGCGATAAATTCAGCGCCCTGAGGTACGCTGCTACCGCTCTGAAACAAACAAATAGATTATAAATAAGGACGTGTTTGCAAAAAAAGAATTAAAGCTTTAAACTCTGCAGAGTTGAGACTGAAGAATAGACGAACAAGAAATCACACTCTAAAATAATAAAAATATTGAAATTGTCAAATTTAAAAGGTTTAAAACGGTCTGTAAACTTGCGCGCTTATGATATTAGGCAGAGGATCATTATAATTGTAATTCTAAAACCTAACACACATACTCCTAACAAATAAGTGATACCGATGACAAGGATAGGATACAAGCAACAACAAATTCCTGACATAGTTCATGACAGCATCAACATATTAAAAGTAACGTAAAACTTGTAATAATTTTAACTTAATAACTCAATCTCAATTCTTCACTCTTATGCACTAAACAGACGCAAGTCTAAAGCGTCTAGCCAAGTCAGGGTCAGCTCAACGATTGAGCCGAATGTTGAACCATGAGGAACGCCGCCTCGACAGAGCTATTTTGATAAAACTTTGATTGGGTTTTTGGAAGTAAATGATTCTCTTTTATTCGGATAGACATGAAACGAGCGAGAAATAGGACCTTATGTGCCGTTTCGTCACAAATATAAGGAACTAAAATTTTAACGTGAAAATGCTCCTCTGCTCTCAAATATTCTACGATTATATTATTTTCTTATTGTTTTCGATTTTTTGATGAATTTTTTTTGGTATTTATATTTGTATGACTTCAAATATACATTTGTAGGTAAATGTGGCCAATAAAAATCGAGTGAAGCATAAACTGTGGATCACTAACTAATAACTCGCATAATAACTTAAAAATTCCTTCATACTACGCTTTACTTATCGATTAATGGCTTTTCCACTTCAAGTGAAGTGTAAAACGTGTGTTACTAGTAAGACTTTTATTTGCATTTTCTATTGCGATAAGCACAACGTATTTTTTAAACACAAGAAAAACAAGGGTAACCTAACATTTTAACGTGCCGAAAGGATGAAATTTTGAATTATATTGACTCACCGCAAAAGATGCAGTAGAATAGCATCGATAATCATACCCCGGTGAACAATTTTCCAACCAAAACAACTAAGCAATCATGATTTTTATCTAAACGTCTCGATTGTTGTCGTAGTTCTTACCGAGGTGCTTAGTATACTCTGGAAATTTTCAGTCAATGTCGTTGAAATACTAGGCGAATCAAAAAAAAATAAGCCGACTTAACAACAGTGCGTTGCGGCTAAATTTAAAAATTAATGGCTTTGTTTTTTAAAAATACATTTATTTATATATTTATTAAATTTTTATTATAATGTTTAGTTAATTAATCAATAATTAGTAATTTTGGTTTAATAATTTCTTTAAAATCGAATGTTTTGGATAAATTTAAAAAAAACTATGTTAAAGTATTTAAATTAAAATGTTTCGAAAAACATCATACAATAAAAAAATAAACAACTTTTTCCAATAATATGTTGCCATACTTTCAAAAATTACATAATTTTTTAATATTCTTTTTTAAAACTGCGACAGGTGAAGCCAAATGTGAGTGTGTGTGAGTAATGGTGGAACTGCATATAATTTTTTTTTTCCCGTAAAATAAAAACATCTACTATTTTGTCACATCAGCATAAAATTATATCCAACGCTTATCTCAATTAGTAATTTTTGCATGAAAAAATTACCAATCGTACTTTCAAAATCAGAGACTGGCTAACTGAAAAATAAAAAATTTTCAACATAAAATAATAAAATTGTAAAACGCCGGATTTTTATACACACCATATATTATTACAAATGAAACACAATATTTTCAATTTCCGAATGAGCGAAAACTTTATAAAATTGTTTTTTGGATTATTTAAAAATGTAAAAATTGCATGTATGGCAATCACTGATATATTACTGCTTTTTTGCTTTAGTCTTTTTTATGCACACCCCTGTATAGCACACATTTTAGAGCAGTTCATTTCTAATTCACCAAAACTAACCAGTGATAACAAGTTAGGTAGACACCCTGGAAGAATAATAAATTACACGCCGTATATAAAAATCGATACCACCTTATTTTTGTTGTTTGTTCATCATATTTGTTTTGCCGAGTATGACACACTTTTATTTCTATGTGTGTGCATGATGTGGAAACGATAAATTCACCAAGGTCGATTCGAAATCGTCAAGGTTCTACATGCTGAAACGGAAAGAAAACAAACCCGGTGTCCCAATAAATCCCAGTGCTTGAGCTAAACATATAGTTCGCACCAATGTCAAAAGTTCAGGTTTTAACGGGGCAAGACGATAGGGTTTTGACTATTTTCTATTGATTTTGTATCACAAATATTAGTATTTATAAATACATGTACATGATCATGTCTGAAAAGACTTTAAAAATATATAACATGTTTTTATTTTTATTGACATTATAAAGAAAAACAACATATATATTCCATTATTTTCATAAAAGAACAGAAATAATTAAAGACTTTCTATGCTTCAATGTCGGCATCAGTGGCATAATATAGTTATACGGGAGGGCAACGTTGCATTATTTAAAAGTCCACTTTATGTAAACGTAGCAGAATTTATTATATACGTCACAATGATCCTTATTCCAAAGTCCGAGCAGAAAGTCGCACGATTTGAACACCCCTCGTATAAGCTGGTAACACATCTACCGATTGGGACGAACCAATTGCCTTCCATTAGGTTTTACTTAACATTCAGCCAAAGTATCGTAGAGTTGGTTTGTTTGTGTGACTTCCCTTGTCATCATTATATATTCATTAATTCCGGCGAACAAATGCCATTGTGCCGTTGTTTTCTCAGTCGTCCGGTGATATTTCCCGATAAAAGCTCGCGTGACACCATCAAATTAAAGCAAAAAAAAAAAAATAGAAAAAACATGATAAAAGCGCGTTCGTGTGTCCTTATTTCGCCACGTTTTGACTAAACTTAATTTTAAAACCCGATCGGTTTTCTATCTTTAATGCGAGTCCGCGACTTTCCGACACAAAAATGGAGCAGAAAAGGTCAATTACGACAAAGCTGGGAGAGGGATCTTCAAACAATCGGTTTTTGCAGCGTAAACTTTTAAAGCAGTTGGACGAAAACTTTGGAAATGTTCTTTTAATGAAACCCCGTGACTCGAAGAAGAGTTTCTATACGTTTTACCCTGTACCTACTAACCGGCATTTTATCTTCAATTACTTCAACTTCCCGCCCTCTGTTAAGACGAGAACTCTTCAATTAAAATTATCGTTAAAATCGAAAATTTTTGTCGTATTCATTTTTCATTTAGTGTATATGGGTAGGTTTAAATCTACTGCAACAAAATGAATTGAAAAAGTGAACCAAATAAACTTGTTAAAAGGAAATTACGGACTGGCCTTCTTATCTTTATCTAACTCACCCAAAGCAATATGAGAGATAAAGCGAAAAGTTAACTGTAAAGTTGTAATTAACTTACACATTTTAAAAAGTTTTAGACATTTTAAATTTCATGCGAAACACACAAGCTCTAAAATAACCAAAACTTTTAAATATATTTTTTAAGTTGGTTCAAATTTCTTGTTATATTTCCAATAATATTTTGGGAAAACTACCGACAAAATTTTAAATGGAACCTTCAATCCTTTACAATTTTATCTGATACTAAATACTGCTATTGAAATTTGAATAACCGTTCCGGCATTCAAGAAAGGGTCCGAATAATTATATAAGAATTATAGAGGAATAACTCTATTGTGGTCTCAATTTCAGCTATTTACAAAGACCTTAACGCAATGACTTCTGAGGAGAAACAAGGTTATAGAAAAAAACGACCCCCAATGGACGCCATATTCATTCTTAGGCAGCCAATTGAGAAGTCAACAGAATTTAATAAACCCAGTGAAGTGATCTGGATATGTCAGCTGAAAGTAAAGTCAGTATATATAGAAAGCGGAAATGAAAATAAGAGCAGTGACTCTAAGAGATCGGATGCGCAGCGAATTCATTAGAACAGAACTAGATATAGAAGATATCGTACGGATTAGGTCAAGGAGACGCTATTGGAGAGACAGCGTGGATAGGATGAGGCCAGTAATAATAGCAAAATGGGCAAGGACACAAAATCCCGGCACCAGACGACCACCAAGCAGGCCCTTACAACGATGGTGAGATAGCTGGACGTCTCTTTCACAAGAGGCGCTATTAGCTAGATTAAACAGGGCATAGCTCTAGTCAAAGAAGAAGACATTTTTTACTTTTTATGAGATGCGGGTAAGATCACTCGGTGTTAGGTCAATTTATTTAGTCTGCCCTTCCTATAAAGACAAGTAGTTAATTAATAATAATTATTACAGAATAATTTACAGGGCTCCATATTTTGATACAAACCTAAGGTTACATCAAGAAATAGTCAACACGAAAGGGTTACTCGGAAACGTTTGGATCTTCTGTCTTTGCATGTTTTCATGTAATCCTGTAGGTGGGCGTCAAAATATAGCCGGATGTATAATTTGTCATAATATATATAATATACAATTTATTTCAGATTAAGAAAGGTGATACGATAAAGGGGTCGACTTCATCAAGAACCCGAATACTTCTCCTTTGGACAGCTTTTCGCTAGTTCACTTTCATCAACTTCAACTTCTATGACTTCCACAACATGTTTCTACTAAAAATTTCTTCTCTAAATTATCAAAAGAATGAGGAAAACTGCGATTTCAATCAATCTTGCGTTAAGATCGCCTCGTCAGTAACTACTTTTTCAAAGGAAAATCTTCAAAAAACGGCGTACCGCGCGTGGCGGCCAGCATCCAAAATTTTCGACCTTGACCGTATAAATTTTGCGAATACGCTCGCGGTTGACGTCAACTCTTTGGCGACGGGAAAAAATTGGCCGACGAATCCAACAGAAAACGAATTATGCGTTATGGTTGATAATTGCTTTGAAGACGTGCCAGATAATATAAAATGTGCGAGCCACATGAAAAATTTTATACGCATTTTAGCGGTCGCGTCCATTCAT